AAAACCTATTATAATAGTAGTTTTTTTTATATATTTATTACTAAAGTTTACTATTATATATTTATAGTTTTTTAATTACAGTTTATATTTTTTATAATTGTATATAATTTTAATAGGCGTTATTTTAATATATATTTTAGTTTTATTTAACAGCTTATTCCCTTACTGTAAGTTAAGCTTTAACTTTATTTACAGTAACTTAATGTTAGTTAATATTTATAAGCTTTACTAATATTAAATCTACTCTTAAAATAAACCACTAAGCTTTTACGTTTTTATTTATTTTATTTACTTTATTATATAATAATAACTTTTTATTAATATACTTTTATAAAAATAATACTTTTTCTTTATTAAAAAAATATTATAATTTATTTACTTTTATTATAATAACTCTATAGTTATATTAGAATCTTTATTAAAAAATATTAATTTATACATTTAAGCTAAACGTTAGTCTTTTTTATATTTTATTATTTAAAGATTAAAACTATTTATATTTATTTAACTTAAAAAATAATAAAATATTAGGTATAATATTTTATAGAACTATCTTTTTACTATAGTTAATTATTAATTACTTTAATAAGTTAATATATAATAAAATTATTATAACTAAGGTATTTAAAGTTAGGATATCTACCTTAAATATATAATAATAGTTTATTTTAAATAATTATATCTTTTATTAAGGCTTATTATATATATAACGATTTTAGTTAATTTTTATAAATTATTAATATTTAGCTTCCTAATATTATAGATTATAATAATAGTTTTTTAGAAAAGCTTTAAATTAAACATTAAACTATTATATATATCTAAAGGAGTTAAGTACTAGCCTATTTACGTTATATAATTTACTTTACTGATTATAATTATAATATAGTTTATATATATCTTAGCGAGGGTTAAATACCTATTGGTTTAGGTATAAGGTATACTGGAAACCTTAGTCTATATCTTTATATATATTATCCTAGCTGGAATACAGCCTAAAGTTATTATAGTAATTATAACCTTTTACTTAGTTTAGTAATACCGGTGAGTTTTATAGCTAGGGAGCTGCTTTATAACCTTAACTAATTTAGTTTATATTATCCTTTATAGTTAGGCTATTATAAAATTGCTTAATTATTTATTATATAGCCTAGATATTATTTAATAAAGAGGATTAATTATATAATTTATTTAGTACTGTTATTTTTATTATTTATTATTTTTTTATTAATATTTTATAAATTATAATAATTATTAATATTATTAGATTTTTAAATAAAATAGAAATAAGGTTTTAATATTATTTTATTTAAATTTTAGAGGAGGTTAATTATATTAATATAATATCCTTTAGATATTCTGCCTATAGATATTATAATAAATTAAGGTAAATAGGCTTTAGGTTTACTAAAGCTGGTTTTACAGTAGTTATTAATACTGCAGTTATTAGTGCTATTTATAAAAGGCTGTTAATTACCTTTAGCGTAGCTTAATTAAATATAAGGCGTTTATTGGCGGATTAAGTGCTTAATTAATTTAATATAATCGCTATATTAAGAAGAGTTTAGTTAAGTTAGTTAAAAAAGAAAAATATTATAGCTTTGCTTAATTAAATATAAGGCGTTTATTGGCGGATTAAGTGCTTAATTAATTTAATATAATCGCTATATTAAGAAGAGTTTAGTTAAGTTAGTTAAAAAAGAAAAATATTATAGCTTTTTTAAAATTAAACAGTAAGCTTTATATAGTTAATTTATTTTATTTTATAAATAGGAAATATTATATATTTTATATTTTTAAAAGTAATTATTATATATTATTTATAGGTTATATATATTATAAAAATATTTATTTTTAAACTCTATTTATTAATATTAATAATATATTTTAAGTAATAAAAAGATATTATTAATAAATAATTTATAAATATAAACTTTACTTTTTATATATATTTTATTTTATAATAATTAAAAGTAAAGGTAATATAATAATCTTTAGTAAAAATAAATAAAGTTAAGATTATAAAAGTTTAAAGTAATATAAAAAAAAGATTAATAATAGTAAAAATATATTATTTATTAATATATTAAAAAGTAGGGGAAGGTTATTTTATTTAATAATTATTAGCTTTAAAATAAATAAAAAAAGTTTTATTACTTTTTAATTTATTAATTTAATTACTATTATTAAAGAAAGTTAATTTAATAAAGTTTAATTAATAAATAAAGTTAAGTAAGAATTAATTATTTATAAAAGAGGTATTACTGTTAATATAGGTTTTATAAAAGTAAATGCTGCTGTATTTATTATATCTGTTAATATTAAAATAACTTTAAGCTGGGATAGGATTATTAATAGTTAACTTTTAGCCTTTATTTATAAAATAAACTGCCTAAAGCTATTTTATAGTTTATTACTGTAGTAGTTTATTTTTATTTTTTTTATTAATATAAGTAAAGTGAGGTGCTGTTTATTATATATTTATAAAAATAGCTATATTAAGTTAATTTAAGTTTTAGCTAAGGTTAATTATATTTAGTTAATCTACTGTAAAAACGCCGACGGTTTTTAATTATTGGGTTCTGTTAATAAATTTTAAGGCGTTTATAATTGCTATTATATAAGATATTAATGTTAGGAGAGGTATATAGAAGTTGGACATTTAGATTACTGTAGTAAGGGATTAAGAGATATATAAAAGATGACTTACTGCTATTTAACCTTTGTGGAGGTAATTACTTAATATATATACCTATATATTAGGTACCGGAGGTTATGTGACCTCACAGATCAGGTCAAAACTTGTAAATGTATATAGAGGATAGCTTGAGTTGTCCTGTTCGTCGAGACTACCAGGCATCATAATGTTTTGTTGTGTAGTTGGTGAGATTGTTGAACTGGAGGAACTAATTTTTGCTCATCACAATATTACTTCCTTTTTCCTTAAAATAAACCCATTAACTATCCTAAAGCTGTTAATAATCTCGTTATCCCTGAACGTTAATATTTTCCCATCCATCAAGATAATCTATGACAGCAATAAGATCGTAGAAATCTGCAACCAGGCTGGAAATCCCATACCCATTAACACGAGTGTCCGATATCACGCGCATCAGATGCGCCCGCCTCATCTGAGCAGACGGAGTGGTACCGGAATCCCCCTCAAACGGAATTGCCCTCTGCAAGCGGAAATACTCCCTCCATTGACGACACGCTGCCCATAACTGCTGAGAATTGTTCCAGATTTGCCCGGGTCCAGTTACATTAATGTCGACAACTTTTTGAACCAACTCCCTCGTTCTGTAGAGGAATTGGTCGCGTTCCCTTGCGATAGTTGCATCGACGGAATCTTTGGTCAAATATCCCACCAAGCCATTCTATGATAACGTTAGTATCAGCCCAGTTTCCAATTCTATAACATGTGGCAGACATACCGAGGGTGAGCTAGTCGGGGGGCGACCCATTCCTCCTGGTCCTCCAGTTCCGATCCCTCCAGAGCCATTACCTCCAGAGCCAGAGCCAGGGCCAGAGCCAGAGCCATTTCCTCCAAAAGAACCATTTGCTCCAGATCCGATTCCTCCAGGCACGTTTCCTTCAGGCAGGATTACTCCAGATCCAGTCCCGCCAGGCCCTGACCCTGCCCCAGAACCAACATCTTCCTTAATCGGCTTCTCAGCCTGAATATTCTCCACTGGTATCCGAAGCAAAAGATCCTTTGCATATGCAGCCGCCGTCATCGCCGCATATCCTTGCCACTGCTTATTCTTATGCGTATCCGAATAATCGCATATCCCCCGAATAACCAAGCAGGGAAAATGATTCATCAATCCCGCCGCTTCCATCTCGAAACACAAGACGTCCTTTTCCGCAGCAAGCTTATCCCTAACCTGAGCATCCTTCATCAGCTGATTCGCCGACGCAATCAGTCCGTAGTGAATAGCAGGATTGTCCTCGTAGTCATCCTCCCGGGGCTGTCGTTTGATTATCCGTGACGGGTCATCTCCGCAAAGTTCTGCGCAGGAGACATCGCTGTCTATAGGATGGGTAATCACAGATTGGTATAACCTGTCGCTGCTTGCAGGCGGTCGCTGGTATTTCTTCCGGAGTCTCGGGTTTTGCGTTACGATTCTCTTGATAGTCTGATCAAGTTGATGACCCTCATTCTCATACTGAGCTCTGATACTGCTCACGGCCGTCCTTAGGAGCGTAGGAGGTTGGTTTAGAAATCCTGTGATTTGGAATGCCTGATTTTGTATCGTTTTCCCAAAATCATACTGTAGCACGCCACCCCGTCCGTCACGAGGAGCGCTCACCACAACGTCGCCAAGCCGAATGTCATGTCTCCTGCTCGGCGCACCGCCACCAATGCCAACCATCAGGCCAATCCTAATATTGCGGAAAGTGCGCAACATGTTAGCAGCAACGGTGGCGGCAGCTGTTGTTCCATACTCTCCATCGGGTAAAACAGCTAGAGCAACGTTGTGTCTTCCAATTTTGCCCAGTGTATAGCTGTTATCGTCCCCCCGGGAAACGTGCATGGGTAAGTCATGTTTCTCATCAAGAAGGTTCTGGGCGGCAACAAATTCCGTGACTATGGCACAGATCCAGCCTACGGTATAATCATTGGGGTTCGCCATGCCGACAGGAGCGACTTGGGTAAGGGACAGAAGACTGTAAAGCTCTCGAAAGCTCGGGTAATATGAGTATGTTGATGCTAATGGCAGTACAGTATTCAAACCCAGCGAAAGCAAGTGAGAAATATATCTCTAGAGAGGCAGGAATGCTAATACAGAAGCGTGCTACCTAAAGGATGGAGAGAGGGGTTGGGCACATGCAGCTATTCCTGCAACTTCCAGCCGCATGCAGGTAACATCGACCATCAACGGCTCAACTGCCGCCACGTCAGAAGTGTACTAAAACAAGCGAATCGAATAGTATGCTTAGCTATGAGCCTTTTCTCGTCTGCCGTGTGTGCATAACTAGTAACGGGTAGTGTAATCGCAAGGCTTTTCCTGTAGGTCTTACTTAAATGGCTTTTTGAGACTGGGATTGCCAGCGGAAGTACATGACTATATCAGAAATCAGAAATACGGCAGTTGCGAGAGTCGCTTGCATTATTATCACTTGGCCAATTATCACTTCTGGTTACTGATGCGTTGCCATGCAATGCCTCACAACTTCTAGCAAGTTTGCTCATAGAGCTTCAATGAACGCCAGTCTTATCTGCCTGATTGGAATAAATATTCGATACTGCAAATGTTTATCAATGAATCTACAAAAGTGACAAGATTGTCATTATTCATGATTCAAGGATGTTTGGACATTCTCTTCCTAGGGCTATAGGGGAGAGAAGAATTGAGGAATATCGCCCCCATATAAATGTTGACCTATTTCCCCCGTTTAGGTAGTCGCAGACTTAGATTCACCGACTGTCAAGCAGTGGATTTAAAAGCAGACGCAACGATCTTAGTATCTAGCACTAGCAATAAAGCTTAACTTAACTCTGTGTATTTCTAGATCTATCGCGCACTACCACAAGCCATCGCTTCAAACACTTAGAACTTAGTCTATACGTCACAATTACAAATACAAATCACACAACACAAACACTGAAAAGAAAATGCCAAATTGAAGCCCTTTTACTATTTAAACCAACTATCTACACTCGATGCCACCTGAAAGCACTACCAAAAGTCCTTCCAGTCTCCGCCTCCACCTCCACAAGTTTAATCAAAAAGAAGAGAGGAAAAAAAGGCAGGAAAAACCAGCAGCAAGAGAGACAAAAGAAAAATTCAAATAGTCGCAGTTTTCGCCAGGGCCTTCAAGAGGTGGTATCATGTTTCATAGTTTCCTCCCAGGAAATTCCATGGAAAAGTTATTTCCGTCCAAAGCAGAAAGATGTATATATAAAAAGAGGTGGACCTGTTCTAAGGTGCGCGGAGAGGGGGCGGGCTGTTAACGCATATAAAAGACAATCAAGACAAAAAAAAGCCCCAAACGATGTGTATCCGTCGTGACGGTAGATCCCAATGCTATTCAAACTCCAAGGCGCCCGTGCGAGATATGTAACAGTGTGCAAAAGTGTGTTTGTTTGTGTTTGTGAATGTGATGGTATGCGTGTGTGTGTGTTTGTGTATAGAAAGTGCCATTGTCGAGTAGCGTGGCCCCATATGTTCAGTTCAACTCTTGACTCCTGGCTTATCATGTAAATTGGTATACTGGGTTGATTCGATGCCTCTTGCTGCAGGGTCTAGGCTTTCGGTTTTGTCTTCGTGAATTCGTTTGCCAAGTGGGTTGAGCAGGCTCTCTCTCAACAACGTGCCTCAGCTGGATGAAGACCCACTCTCCGAGCTTTGGACTGAGGCTTCAGATTCGGAGCTGTTGCTTCGTTCACGTCGAATCGGACTCGCCCCCTGTTGTATCGCGTCGCTGTAGCTTGGGACAGGATCTTGGGGCGGGGCGGGTTGGCCATGTCCTGCAGGCCTTATCGTTGCCGAAGACTCACCCCTGCTGCGAGTCACGACATGGATAAGAGGGGCGTTCTCATCCTCGCTATCGGTGCTATATCGACGATTGCGATTTTCGGTATAGGTTGGACTTGAATAATCGGGCGGCGGGTTGGTGGCATCCTCGAGGTGGAGATGAAGCGGGTTACCGTCAAAATGCTGTTCGTGGGCAGGGTGTGTGCTGCTGCTGGCCTCACCACCCTCATCGGATGGCACAAGCTGGGCAAGCGAGATGTCGGTTGGACTCCTGACAGGACCGGGGCTAGTGGGAGGGAGAACCCTGAAATTCCCGCTGCGTGATCGTCCGTGCTGTACGTTGAGATCATTTTCGCCCACTCTAACGCTGTATGGCGTGCCGCTCACGGAGTGTCGATGAGCCCGGCCTTGCGAAGAGGTGAAGCCATCCTTGGTACCGGTCTCCAGAAGAATGCTTCCTTGTTCAGAACCGTATGGGGGCGGGGGAGCCAGGCTGCCAGTGACAGGGGCCAGACCCCATTTCTTGACATTTGCCTCAATGAAGACGAAACCAGATTGACCAAAGTTGACATGAACTGTCGCGGGCCCGTTGGCTCCGATGGCCGGGAAGAAATTCTGAGACTTCAAGCCATGAACCACCTCCTCGAGCTTCTTGCCGTTTCGTGTGAAGAAGATGACACCTGTTCGAGGTCTGTAGCCAACGCCAATAACATCGCCAGTGACAATCTGAGGGCCATACGGGGTTCGACTGAATGGCTGGTTGTAGTGTCGTGAACCGTTTGAATGGTAGGCAACAGAGTACTTGTGGAAACCTATAGCGGTTGTTAGAACTCGGAGTCGCAGGGCAACGCCATCGTTGTAATAAAGGGAGGACTCACCAGGCAGTCTAAAGAGAGGGTATGGCTTGGTGGCCATTCCAATAGCAACAAGCGTGTTCTCGGGCTTATCGTAGATCTTGGCCTCCCAGTAGTAGACGTCGTTTTGCTTGGGTACGGGCAGGTTGCTCATGACGGTGCATTCGGAATCGAAAAACTCAATCTCGGTTCGGGCCTGGACGAAGCAATTTGCAATTTCCAGCTCGGGCTCAAACTCCCAGGCCGACACACCCTTTTCCTGGATAGCAAGGTACTGTGAGAGCGAAATATCGGTTTGCGCAGACTCTGGAGGGTTCGCAGTGATGAATGCTACAATTTGACGGTCAGTATGTTCGCTACACTGCGCAGATGGCTCGGTGCACCTTTAGCTCTCAGGTATTCCGTCCTGGACATGTCGTCCATGTTCTCCAAGGCCTCGGCCTCTTCCCTCGCAAACGCCTGTTCGTCGTCATATTCACCCGGTCGGCCGATGCGATCGAGAATGATTCGACCAGAGCCAGCGCATCCAGACGCCCAGAAGATGAATATGACGAGAAAGATGAGGACGATGGAGCCAAAGGAAGACACCAGGCCGATGATGACGCCCGTCAGGGCTGAAGATGGTGACGTCGTCATTGTGATGGAGGGCTTTTCAAATCAAGTCCCAGCCGATGCGATGGATAAAGCAAGAATCTAACATTCGCTCGCAGCGAAAAGAAAAAAGAGAAAGAGACTCCGAGGAGCCAAAGGACGAGACGGCGTCTCCGCCGCGACGGTCGCGGCGCTGCGAGTGTCGGGCGTGTGGTGAGGAGGCTGCGGGGGATGATGATGCTCCAGGCCGGATCTGCAGTGGATGGCGCAGGCGATCGATTCCGCGGAATGTCGAGACTCGTAGACGCAGCAGCCCAAAAGATGTCGAGTCGTCGCTCGTGAGATGCCAGCAAAGAAAAAAAAAAATCAAAAAGGAAGTTGTCTTGGTCGGACCGTTCCGGAGCAGCCGCTGCCAGAGGGCGAAAAATAGCAGTGGAGGGCTGATGGAAAGATTGCGTTTGGGCGGACACGGACGTGGTGCCTCGCCACAGAGGGAGAGGCGACTCGGGAGATAACGCAGCACAGCGCAGGGCAGCAGGCTGTAGCGATTACTCGTGCAATCGTGCTAGCGGCAAGTGTACACACGACTCTGCTAGCACTGGCCGCAGTGAGCTAGCAGGCACTAGAGCGGCAGGCAAGCAGTGAGAGCCCAACTGGCGCTTGGCTCCCGCAGGGGCCCAGAACCGCTAACGTGAGAAGCCGTTGAGGGAATTGGAGAGAGAGAGAGATGGGGAGAGTGATGCCAGGAAGAAAAGGGACCAGAGACAGTGGAATTACTGCCGAAAAGGGGAAGATTGTGTCTAGACAAAAGAGATTGCGTCTGCAGAGGTTGGAAGGGAAGAACGAAAAGAAAAGGAAAGTAACAACTACAAAATAAGGGACCGCGAGAGAGAATCGATGCTCGGCTGCAGACGAAAACGAGACGAGAACAGAAGTGCGTCCCAGCTGGGCAAAGGTTACTGGACGAGAGCGCTGAAGCTAGGCCGGGATCGAAGAGAAGCGCAACGACGAGAGGCTGGGTTTGGAGAGGCAAAAGTGTGGGGCCGCAGGTGCAGTTGTGGAATCTGGAATGTCAGGTCAGGCCAGCATGGAGATGGAGAACTGCCCAGTGGGCATTGTCTGGAGCCGCTAAGTAGCGAGGACTTGGGTGATGCGGTGCACGCAGCAGGACGGTACTTGCGCTTCCCCGCTAAGCAGATAGACACTGCCGCCCTGATTCTGCCAAAAACGCTATCTGGCGCACCACTAAAGCCATGTATCGCCCTGCTGCAGACCCCCGACTAGCTCGTATCCGGTACTTCTCCTTTGGGGCCTTTGCATTAGTGCTAGCGGCCAGTGTGACGCAATGCGGATGACAGGCAGCCTCGTGAGCAACAAAACAGCCGTGCATATTCCAGCCGTGAATTGAATTGAATTTCAGCGTCTCGTATCACAGCCAGAATCCCATCCTCATCCTGCCTCGCTCGCATCTGAAACCCAGCGTCTCGCAATGCCATACCAAAACAGAAGCACCAGTCCAATCCCATCCCATCCGCTCAATTCAGCTTGACTCAACTGAACCCCCTTCGGACGACCCGGGCGCCTAAAAATCCAGCACCTAAAAAAAAAACACGTTACGTCCCCCCCTGGTAGTTTCACCCACACAGCCCGCGAGTTTCAAGCCGTTTTTATGCTGTCTCGGCCTGTCAATGCACCTCCTGCTCCCCCAGAGAGCCACCCCAGGGGAGGCTTATGCGTGCCATTTCTCGCCGTGCCGCGCTTTTTTCAGGGTTCTTGCAAATTGATGATCCACGTCCAGTCTCAATTGGATAGGTTGGACGCTCAAGTCCTATTCATAGCAACGTAGCCGCACCTCTCTTCAAACATGACAAACTGTGCAACATAGCAGGTAGGTGAGGCTTCTCCGTATAAATAAACAACACAACAAGCGCCTCCCAATCAAAACCTCGAAAAGGCCCGTCAACACGTCCATAAGACCAGACGCGACGCAAGGGCGGAATCAGTCCGACACTCTGTTCCTGAGCCACAATCTCAATCTCCGCGTACACGTAAGATTGATGTTGTACCCGTAAAAACACGGAGCACCAGCTACCAACAACAGTTCAAAGCAGAATGTTACCACTGTAAGCCTAGCATGGAACCTGCCAAAAGGGAGTAAATACATGTAAGTTACCAATATTTCATACAACGAAACTATTCTTGTCACTGCATGTCAAAGCAAATCAAGGGAATAAGTATTGTAAAAATTGAATACCATTATTTCATACAGCAAAACTATCCACTATCCCATATTTCATTCATCCACTTCATTCATTGCGTTCATTCCCATAACGTGCATCTCATCTCATCTCATCTCATCCCCTGGTGCGTTACTCACATTACAAAAGAAAAGAAAAAAAAAAGACATTGATACCGCCCTCCCAATCCCTCATCAATAAAAAACCCAATTCCCAGCGTGCCCAAACTGAAACAAACCAGCAAAAGACGCACGCTTTATATAAACAAGGGCGAGAAAAACAAAAAGCATCAGAAATTGAAAATCATCCCATATTTGCCTTGTTGTCCTAGTCAGCCCTTTTCAAAGTAAATCCCATCATTCCCTTCCTCCCCGATCGGCCCGGGCCCCGCCCCTTTAAACATCGGTATTCTCATCCGTATTTCCACGTCGGTATCCGCTCTTGCTGCGCCTCGCCCTGCGCTCCTCTCTCTCCCTCCGCCTCTGCTCCTTCAGCTCAGGCATAGGATGGTGATAGCTCTTGGTGCCAACCTCGCTCTCCTCCTCAGGGATGCTGCTCTCGCCAAGGGTAGTCGAATCGCCAGTGCCGCTGCCCGAGAGCAAACTCTCGCTCAGCTGGCTGTTCGTCACCGCTCCCGCCGCGCGCTGGTATCCAAAGTCTCGCTGGGCAACCCTGTTCGCCGCCCGCAGTCTTCGGGCCTCGGCACGCTCCCGCTCCGCCTCCTTGCTCTCTCTGCGGTCCGCAGTCGAGTACACCTTTCGAATGCCGCCGCTCTTGGCCGTCGTCTTGGGGGGAGCAGATGCCTTGGGGGGGTCCGAGGTGGGCGTGGGTTCCTGGTGCGCGAGCAGTTCAGACGTGGCACCAACAGAAGACTCAGCCGCGTTCGTGGATCCTTCCCATTCAGAGCCCTCGGCCTCCTTGTTGATTCCGCCGACGCGAGCAGCCTTTTCGTGACGGTAGCTGCGCAGATGCTTCTTGGCCTCGCGCTCCGCCTTTTCATCCACGACGCCCTCAAATGCATTGCCAGTCGACTTGCCCTTCTCTCCGCGACGCTTTCTGCGCTCCTCATCGCGAGCCTCACGCTTCTTCTTGCGCTTCTCGCGAGCAAAAATATCACTCGCGCCCGCGGTAATGCCAGTCAAGTAAGTGCTGTCCGTGATTGCAGTTCGCCTGTCATCGTCATCATGGTCGTCGTATCGCTTGTAAACGCTGCCGCCTCCCAAATTAGTCGACTCGGTAGCTCCAGAGAGAATCGTGCCGTTGGGTCCCTTGCGACGCAACACCGTAGACTTGTAGTCGTCCCAATCATCGTCCTTGAACCAAATACCGCCGTTCTTGGCCCAGAAGAAGAACCAGATGCCGGTGACGACAAAGGCAACGCCAATGAGCGCGAAAAGGAAGAAGAAGCCGACATTGTTGATGTCGTGAGGGTCGAGGACGCCCTTGGACGGGTCTTCGGTGCGCTTGGCGAGTCGAGCAAAGACGCGGGCTCCCTGGAGGAGAGGACCGTCTGCCGGGAACTTATCCGTGTCGATGACATCGACAGTCGGTGTGACGGAGAGGCCTTGGCCGGCATTCACCACCGCCGGCGCCATGGTGATTAATGAGTCCTTGGCCGAGTTGAGGTTGTTGGAATGCGGATTGTCTCTCCGGCAAGTAGGTGTAGATACGCGGGCAGCCCAAGTTGAGCCGCAACAATGTCGTTCTTATCCCGCAAGTGGAAAAGGGGCCTTGTCAATGCACAAAGCGCAGCTCTATTCCACCGTTTAGAAGAAGTAAACAAATGGAATAATCGTCACCCCCGGATAGTGAGGTTGCAGAGTTGAAAAAGCACTAACGAAAAGAGCGTGCAGTTGAGGCAGAATGTGCAGCGCAAGCTTACCAGGGGGCCTCGCGTTGTTCCTACAGAAACCGCAAAAATACCGTGGCTGGGGGTTGCGGCGCTAGACCAATCAATTCGTTTTGCTGATCGTTACTCCGTACATGCAAGGCGGCCTCACTACCGTCGATTCTACCAGTAAGCGACTAGTTTGATGTAAATTGTTTACTTTTCCAGAGTGTATGCACTGATAATCAAAGGCCTTCTGCAGTTCTACATCATCTCCAACTTTTTATGTAACTTGCCCAGTACCTTTTCCGTGCCGCCATCAAGTCCAAATCGGGATGACGCACGCAAGTAAACACGCCGACCCAGCAACGCCCCACTCCCGTCGATCGATCCAATCACGCTCCACCTCTATTCCAGCGGACCCTCCAGAAAGGCTTGTGGGACTCGGGATCTGGGCTTGAAAGTGCCACTGCTTTTTTAAGTTTGACCACTGCCGTACTTTTTTGCCTTACACTAAGCATCAGAACAGACATATCGTTTTGATACTGTACTCGTACATCCCATCTAGGTTTGGTGCAGGCCGAGCAACAAATGAATGATGGAAAGACTTCACCAAATGCGATATCCGAGTCCAAGGGATGCTCTATTCAACAGCCCAAATTAATATGGAAATAACCTCAGGATGCTTTGCCGAATATACTCCATCTCATCTGGGCGGCAATGCCAACCCTCCCTCCAAAACTGTGTCCATGGTGTAAGGAAGCGGTATCCATCGGGGCCTTTAATCGACATCAACTCCAGCATCTTACGCATTCCATCTCCAGTCCGCAGGCGTTTCTGAGCAACCGGCGTCAGGCTCATCATTGTCTGCGTAACATAAAGCACGTTTGCCGCAATCGCCGCTGCAATTGGCGCCGCGTAGGACGTCCCTGATTTCAATCTCTGCCTTCCTTGGGCATCGGTAATGAGGATCCCGGTGCCCAGAGTCATAAAGTTCTCGTCGTTATCTACCGCAAGAGGACTGATGCCGCCATCCTTGCCTTTTCCATCTGATGCATGGATACAAATCACATCGCGACAGACGGCCGGAAAGCTTCTCGGTCCATGACTACCGTGGTTGGCGGCGGCGGCAAATATGATTTTCGTCCTTGCGTTCGATAATGCATCCTCGATGTCTTGGAAAGCCTTGATGAGATTTTTATCCTCTAGAGCTGGCAATTTAAGACCAAAAGACATGGTTATAATGTCAACGTTCCACTGTTCGACCGCGTAGCTGATTGCCTATGTGAGTGGTTAGAGACGGGTAGACACGATTCAGAGAAGAGAGCACACTTTCGCCACGTTGCTGGCCTCCTCCACGTTAAACGTATTTTTATTGAATACCTTCGCGACACATATCTCGGCCCATGGAGCAACTCTAAGCAGGAGATCGGTTATATTCGTCCCGTGACCGTCATCGTCGTGGACGTCATCTGGGTCACCCACCCAGCTATGGCACCGGTTTTTGTCCAGGCGTTTTGAGGCGAAGCCACCTTGTATTCCGCCATGCGTTTTGTTAATGCCTGTGTCGAGAACTGCAATTCGAACTGGTGGAACTGAACGAGATGCTGAGTTGCCCAGCTGTCTTGCGTACCACTGGCAGGAATTGTGGAACATGTTCAATTGATTGAAGAAATCAGCTGTTCCCCTCTTTTTCCTACCGAGACTCTGAATTAGAGCTGTTCGCAAAGGCCGATCATTGTACGTACTCTTCATTATACTCATTCATATCATCGAATAGCTCTATGGTAGCTGGTTGTATTCCTGGAAGCTTCTTCAGGGTCTTCTCGAGCCCCATTCTGCTCCATAGAGTATCGGAGTGGTCGGCACCAAGCGTCTTCTCTCTCCCATCGGCTGTTTCTCGAAAGACCTTCTCAGCCTCTCCGTATTTACCTTGGTGGTATAAAGACTCTGCCAGATAATGCTTGCTCCATAGTGTATTAGCATCATCAGCACCAAGTGTTAATTTTCTCCCTTCAGCTGTTTCTCGGAAAATAATCTCGGCCACGTTATATTTTTCTTGGCGGTATAGAGACTCTGCTAGCCGGTGCTTACTCCACAGAGTATCAGGATTATTTTCACCAAGTGATATTTTTCTCCCTTCAGCTGTTTCTCGGAAAACAGTCTCTGCCTCTTCATATTTCCCTTGGTGGTATAGAGACTCTGCTAGGTAGTGCTTACTCCATAGAGTGTCGGGATTATCAACACCAAGTCCGTCCTTTCTCCCTTCAGCTGTTTCTCGAAAAATGTTCTCGGCTTCGTTATATTTTCCTTGACGGTATAGAGACTCTGCTAGACGGTGCTTACTCCACAGAGTATCAGGATTATTCACACCAAGCGATATCTTTCTCCCCTCAGCCGCTTCTCGAAAGACATTCTCGGCCTCTTCATATTTTCCTTGGTGGTATAAAGATTCTGCTAAATGGTGCTTGCTCCATAGAGTGTCAGGATTATTAACACCAAGTGTCGTCTTTCTCCCTTCGGCTGTTTCTCGAAAGAGCTTCTCGGCCTCTTCATATTTTCCATTTTTATATAGCTCCTCTGCCTTTTGATACTTGTGGTAAAGGTCCTCAGAATGGCCCGCGTCTGTCATTGTCCTGTCCTTGTAATGCTTCGTGTAAGTTGCTTCTGGCTGTGTAGCTTCATCCGCGTTGGTCGAATGGAATTAGATATGAGATTGCCATAAGATGGTCGATCGCCTCATGCCGCTTAAATTTACCTTTAGCATATGAGATAATTATTCTGCAACTCTCCTCAAATTGGACATATACCGATCAATTCATTGGTTGTGTTGACATCTGCGTCTGTGTTTAGGCTTATACCTGAACCTTAATTACATGCCGAGAGGCTGAAGTAATACCATTTGGCAGGTCAACTGGTGCGGGGCATCGGGCTTTTCCAGTCTGCTCAATTTGCCGCCCGCACGCTGATTCGATGATCGCGTTGACTTGGTGGTCGCCATGAGCCACCACTTGGCCTTTAGGCAGCCAGCTGAACCTCCCTGTTTGTTGTAAGGTTTGCTCTTCAACCATATGACCTCAAAGCTTTCAGCTCCTGTTGCTGAGAGTTCCAGGACCTTCTATGACTTCAAAGTTTGTACAAGGCACGTTTCCTGTATGTACAGTAACAGGCTATTTCCTGCCCCAAGGGCGCATTTCCTTGCGTCCTTCAACTTCCTAGCTGTCATTTTACGTATATGAAAACGTTATATTTTCCATTCAACTAGCTAGAAATCAAGAGCTCCTATCACATTAATTCCCTTGCATTCAGCTTGACAGCTAGTATGTCTATCAACCCGATACCATCTTACCACCTCTGCCCAGATTTCTCAATCGCGCCACCACCTGATGGACCTCTGCATCTGGGGTCAATCTTGAAAAGCCTCGACATTGACGGACTGGCCCCTCTCAACGAAAACTCGCGTATTGAAGTCCCTGCCCACATGGTCCTGCCCCGACAAGGGCCAGACATCAAGACTGGGTTCTCATGCACATTGAACCAGATCAGGTCAACTGAATTTGGTATCTGGGCCAAGATCTTCGGTCTCGACGGGCTTGGGGGCAAACTCGGCTGGCTGCGCAATCGGGACGCGGGCGAGACCCTGGCAATCAAGCAACTTAAGACGGTGTACTTCAACCCAACAGATGAGTATATGGCACAGGCTCTCGCCACACCGAATGTCAAGGCTTTTATTGATAATACCAGGAAGAAGGTGCCATTGTACATGATCACCGGAATCAAAGTTGCGGCGGGGGCCTCTTTGTCGAAGACCAAGGGCAAGACTACAAGTACCATTGCTAAAGGCGGCGTGACGGAGCCCCATTCACAGACGCAGATTGGAGGGCAGGCAAGCTTCACGAGCGTAGACAACGTCGGCGCCTCCTTCGAGGGCTCGACTGACTTTGTTTTGGGCTACCGCGTGAGGAAGATCTTTTGGAAGCACAGAATGAGACAGACTTCGGGGGTCGCGGGCGCGACTCTCGAAGATGACGAAGAGCGATCACCAGATGGGGATATCCTTACTGACGTGGAGTTCGTCAACGACTTTACGGTGGAGAGTGATGCTACTCCTTCAAAGGTGTTTGAGGATGAAAGAGGCCGTGCAGGAGTTGAGCCGTCTGTTTGGGTGATGCCATGAGTTTTTCACAATCTATTTTAACACGAACTCAGAGGTAACGGAGGGAGGGGAATGCCGCTTTTTGATAAGGCCATAATTCTTGGTTCTCCCAACGGCGTCGACTCCCTAATAAACTCTCTATTTCTGTACCGCTTCTTCTCAATGAACGTCTTCAGGACGCTGAAATGCTCTTCAAATTGTGTTAAAGTCTGGGGAGTAAGGTGATGGTGGCTCCACTATCACACCTGCATCTACCTTACTTACATCTGCATCATCTTTGGCGACAAGTGCCAGCATGCATTATCCATGACTAGAACAGACTTGGGTTCCGCATGTCTGCCACAACGTTGCAGCAGTTGTTCGATGAACATGTCAAATATATGACTATCAGTCGATCCTTAGTATACCTACCTTTAAGATAAATAAACAGTGACACTAATTCCTCTTTTTACTGTACTGTACCTACATGTACTTTGTCGCTGCATGTGAAACTTGTGATTCGTTCTGTTAAAGCCAGTACACTGTGTGCTTGAAAACGACACTGGCTTTTAGTCCATTTTAGCAAAAAAGTGGCCAATCTATAAAGTTGTTTTTGTCATTAATACGTGGACGCTGAACTTGAACTGGACTGTACAACGAGATCTCTCACAATCTGTTTACTTGTTCTTGTCCTCGTCCTTGTGCTTGTGCTTGTGCTACTTTCCAGTGGCCGCAACCTCGATGGAAACGTGCATCACAAAGGATCGTACTGTGATCCACACTGCTACGTGGAGGCTTCTCAGCTGTCCTGCTTGATTCACCGCCTGCCTGGCTCCCTGCATACACTTATATGGAGTAGTATTGCCTGCTTCATGCCTTTGAATGTCACTCATGGTGCAAACAGATTTCGTGTAGACAGGCGCAAGAGGCCATTTATTAGATATGAAAATAGAAAACAAATACATGCTTCAATAAGAAAAATACATATTCCATCGTTACAGCCAAAAGGAAAAAGAAAAAAAGAAATAGAATAAAAAAAAAAATCAACGCTTTTGGTTCGTCATCAGGTCATGAAAGAATCGTCAAGCCAATCCCTCTTCATACCTCCAGCAGCGCATGCTATCCAAACACCCCCCCGCTTCGTAATCTAAACCGCCATACCACATCGCCTTTCCCTGCAGCATCTTGTCTATCCATTGTATCACGTCCTCCTCGAGCCATGCATGCATGCACCTCCTCGCATTATGCGTGCTAGCCCACAAGGGTAAGCCGTGAGGGGTATCAGAGTCCGGCTCGAGTGCACGTGGCCGCAAATCACAGCGCTCTCTCCCCCCCAGAGGGAGACAGGAGAAGAGGTGTTTGTCTCGGAGGGAAAAAAGGAGCCGGAGCACGGGGAGCAAATAGCATACCAGTTGAGAATCAATGAGCCCCTCGTGTACGGCAGAGGGAGTGAAGGGGGTGTGAACCCCCATTGCTCGTACAATCTATCGCTTTCGTAACATTGATGAGAAGAAATGAATAAATCAGAAAATTCGATAATATCCTCCTCTTAACACAAAAAAGGGCCGCTATAGTAATAGACTGAAATTTGCCGAACCCAATAAAATAATAAAGACTTTGGCCACAAAGTGCCAGCTCCAAAAAGGGCGTAGATCGGTAGGGAGACGGCTGAGTTCGAGCATCGTCAAGTCCAGGCCCGAGGGGAGAATAAAACACAGCCCTCCTCGAAGACGGCGCCATCTCCCAAGCGGCAAGGTCGGGGGAGTCAGACCAGCTTTCTCCCTGCCTGCCCAATCCATTCTCGATTATCTCACCGACACTCTTTGCAAGTTGTGCGACGCTCAAAGCAGGTTGCAGAAAGAAATAAATGGAAAAATGAAGAATGAAAATAAAATAAAACCCCATACACGTGTACCAAGATCCGCCTAGTAGAGAGCACACAATATCCTTCCCATCACCAACTATTTTGGGGGTATCAGAATGTTTCGCAGCCATGGAATGGCGGCAGGGTATATGAACCACCAAGACAAGCGCAGGATGTGAGGGAAATTAGAAGAGAAGAAGAAAATGTCGTAAAGGAAATAACGGAAATAGAAACAGAAATAGAGAAACGGAGATGAAATTCATTCAGTTGGTCTTCGAGAAAGAAGCAAAACCGATGGCGTCGATATCGTTTGCATGTCGACATCGATGAAAGACAAAAAAGCACTTTTTCATCATGTCATAAGTCGTGAGTTTAGCTTCGTAAATTTTTGAGAGTAGTTTTTCGTTTTTGGTCGTCAACATTAATAAAAGTTGGAGGCAGCAAGGGATGGGTCGTAGGGAGCATGTTCATAAGTAATGTGCTCATATGGCTCATAAGGTTCGTACGGGGCATGCTCGTACGGGGCGTGGATCGGAGCGTAGATGCGGCTGTGGACATCAGACTGGCTGGTTGCGCGAGGGCGGTGCGGCAGCGCTTTGCGGTCCATGCGAGAGCTACGCGCATCATCAAGCTGGTAGACGGTGCTTTCCTTGTCGCTGCCAGCACGAGAAGCGCCTGGCATTCCTGAGCCAGGTCCGGCTCCGGCTCCTCTGCTGCTGCTAAAGGTAATCTCACCACCCTCGCACTCGATCTGGGGGCCGCCGGGAACCTTGACGACCGCCTGGCCAGAGACCTTGATGGTGAAATCGTCATTGTGGGCTGCCGAGGATTGCGTGGTGAGTCCAGTTGTGTGGCTGCTTCGCCTGTAGTCGCTTTCGTCATGGCTGCCGCTGCTCCTGGTGGATCGGCTGCTGGCCAGCTCTCCACGCTTGGATGCCTTGCGCAGAGTCTCAGCCGTCAAGGGCATCGGCGCACCTCCGCTCACGTCCTCCTGATACCGCAGAGCATCAAAGTACTTGCCGGTCTCCTCGAGGCTGACGCCGCCAGACTCCCCGGGGCCGGGTCCATACATGGATGAGCGGCGGCCCCGGTTGCCAGCAGGGACAATGTCATAGCCGTGCTGATCATACGCAACGGAGCTGCTGCGTCGAGGTCGAGTGAGGGCGGTACGGCGCTGGTTAGGAGAGACCTCTTGGTAGAAGTCCACCTCTTCACCCGGGAAGTCGTCTTCGTCAAAGGCATGCTGGTCCACAAAGCCCACAGACCGGCGGTGCGATGGCGGTGGGCGCGGATGGCCCTGTCGAGACAGCGGGCGCTCCCGGGGTTGATGATCTCGGAAATGATCCCGTACTTGCTCTCGCATATGCTCCCGCGGTGCCTCGCGCAGTGGCTCACGCATTGGCTCGCGGGCTGAAGGAGGAGGCTTATAGGCGCCCGAGGTTGGCCTTGCTGATTGAGTACGCTTGAGAGCAAACTCAGAAGGCGGCAACCTCTTGCGCTCCTCCAGTGGTGGCGGCGCCTTCTTGGGACGCGAAGGGCGGCGAGCAACTTTCTGGGCCTGTTCTTCCTCGTAGTCGTCATAGTGTTCGTTAAAGTAGCCTATGGCCTCGGGAGGAGAGCCAAAGCCCATGGCAGAAGCAGGCCGCCCGCCACCATCGAAGCGATGTCTGAGATGCTCTCCCGGGGGCGGCGGTCCCATGGGACTGACACCATCAAAGAAGGGAGGCGGGCCCATGCCCATGGGAGACTGGGGCGGCGGCATGCCAGGATGCATTGGGGGACCGCCAGGAAACATGTGAGGCGGCGGGAAGTTGCCCATGGGGAATGGACCAGGAGGGGGAGGAGGGGGCGCATGAGGTCCAGGCCAGCCCATGTCCAGAGGCGGCCGAGGAGGCTGTCCGTAGTAGCTTGAAGGACGAGATTTGGCACGAGGCCGCTGGCCAGAGGCAGCAGGCTGCTGGAGCTGCTGAACTCCATATGCGGCGGGATCTTCAAACTGGCCTCTTCGATAACCACCCTGGGAGACGACGGGCTGAGAGGCGGCATGCTTGGGGGGGCCGGGCCGGCTCTTCTTAGGGCCCCTGGGGTCTCTCGGGTCCCTGGGCTCTCTGAGGTCTCTTAGATCTCTCGCGTCTCTGGGGTCTCTGTCCTTGGGCTGGGGCCGGGGCCTTCTGTGGTCTTCGTCGTCTCTGGGCCTCCTCTCGCGTCTTTGGCGATCATCTCGGGCAATTGCTCTGGGGCCATGAGGGTCTCGAGAATCTCTAGGGTCGTGGTGAAGGTCTCGATCCTTGTGCGATGGGCGTCTGTGATCAACTGGGAGGGGCCTCGTCCTGTCCCGGGCGACGGGTGCTTGCGTGCTGTCAGAGTCGGTGAGGCTGCTGCTGCTCGAAGCTGTTTCATCCTCGGAGTCGGACTCTGGCAATCTGGGCTTGCCGGTGTTGGATCGCTCAGGGCTTCTGGCCGCCGCTGATCTGGCGTATCGACGAGTGCTCTCCACGCCGAGGGTGCTGTGCTCCTCGTCAACGTCCTCCACGTAGCCAACCATGGACTCGCCGCCGACGGGCATGTTGTATAATTGAAAAGGGTGATTGCCCCGAGAGGAGCAGATGAATGGTAGGAATGGTGTTGTAAAGAAGAAGAAGAAGAAGAAGAAGCCGCACTAAGGCGGGGGGATCGGGTTCGTTTGAGTAGCTGTTGCGTGAGAAGCTGTCAGCATCCAAGGTGGGCGTCTAGGCAGCGACTAGGCAATCAGGCGGTGGGCGATAGATGGGCGTATCGATTAGCGCATGGACGAGCTTGAAGCGAAAATAAAGAGCTCGGCGACTGCAAAAACGCTGTGTGAGAAGAGAACTGCGGAGGTGATGAATGATGAATGACACAAGGTGAGACGCAACCCCTCTCTCAGAGCGATGGGCCGGGATAATAAAGAATCAACGAAGCCCAGCAAACAGAAATTTTTCTTCGTCTCGCCAAAATGACTGGAGGTCGGCGCTTTGTCAACTGCAAGACCAACGGACAGCGCAGTAGCGGCTGCGTCGAGGTTTTAATCGCCCGTTGTCGCTGATCCAATGGCCGCAAAGTGTGTGCAGAGGGCAGGCAGAGCGCTACAAGGGCGGGAATGAGGGGTGCGAAGGTTCGGGTTTGGGTGGCATGGGGGTGGGCAGAGGGGGTGGGCAGGGAGGGGCTGGCAGGGGGGTGCTCTAGGGGCTAATGCGCTGTCGCTGCACTGGATCTGGCGCTGTGTGTCAGTGTGCTGAGCACTGTGGAAGGGTGGATTGATCAATATTGATTCAATGATTGATGCGATGATCAACAGCTGTGCTCTCTCAACTGTCATAAAGGGGGGAGAGAAGAGACTCCCATGAATGGCTTGGGCAGCGACTGTCTGTCCGTCTGTGCGAGGCGACGGCGCGGACGCAAGGGAGAGCTGGACTCGATAGACGAAGCAGATCCAGTTGATTTGATGCAAGAGGGGCGATTCCATCCATTTCATGTGCACTGAGCAGATGGTGGTGTGTTTTTATGGCGCCTTTGGAGTAGCACAACTCGCACAGAATATCGCGCGACCTGTACAGTAGATTGATGCCGTTCTTTAACTCGTACTATTTTTTGACAGCCATTTTCTCATCTACTGTATTTGCCCTTGGTCCTATACCCGGCCGTCTTCGTACATGGCCTGGATGTCTCCCGAATGGTCTAGATGGCGGGATATCCCTCTCCCCACATGATGGGCTCCAGACACCCTCACAGCCGTCGAGCCAGTCCCAGTCCCGCGAAGCTGCACAGTGCATCGGCAGCTAACGACCGCCTGACCCTCTAGTAGCTCCTTGGTCGTCTCAACGACAGGCCGAGGGCGGAGGTGCCGCACCACCGTCCAGAGCACCCGCGATAGCGACTGGCGAATGGGGGCCGCGAGATGAGGGAAAGACGAGGTTGCCGGGGTATTTGGGTTTGAGCCGGGTGGTTGTCGAGGTCAGCGTCGAGGAGGGGAGCGTCGAGTGTTGAGCGTTGGGAGGCACAAACACCAAAGAGCAAGCAAGGGAAAAACAGTACGTGGTATTGAAGCCATATGTCGCATGTCGTATGTCGCATGTCGTAGGAGCTGTTACAACAAGCGCTCGCCAAAGGACTGCAGCAGCAACAAGAATAGCAGCTTATGCAATGCAAATAGAAACAAAGACGTTCGAGCAGGGATCCTAGACGCTGCTGCTGCGTTAGCCGTCTTCAAGACAACAGCCGGCCGCGCATTCTCGACGGATAAAAATAAAGTCATCCATTCCCAATGACGGATGGCTGCAGTTACTCATCCATCCGCTTCGTCTTCGTCGGTCAGTCAGACTTGGGATTCAGCCCAACACAACAGAACCGTTGAGTGCTGTCAACGTCCACGCCAACGTCAAAAGTCAAGGTCAGAGTTCCAAACGACGTCACCAATCCCGCCTGTTCGGACCAGGGTTAGGGGAGACACGGGCTTCCATCTTCCATTTCCAAATTCTTCTTCCCACCCGTGTGGAAACACAAGCAAAATCTAGTGCCAAGTGCGCCGGGTACAGCCGCTGCGAATGGCTGAGAGCCAAAGAAAAAGAGAAAAGGCGAAGAAAAGCACTCACGCCCAACTGTGGAGATGGCGGCTCGTCTCTGCCCGTTGTTGGCGCCCCGCCACACTTGGCATCAGCCTTTGGATTGTGAAACACGCTGAAACTCGACGAACGGCTATTTTGCTTCGGTATACAAAGCCTCTCCAGCAGACGCTTTTTTTTTTTTTAACCCTGGGCATTGCCACCGTGGAGACGCGACAGCGCAACACTCACCGTTGGACAGCAGAGAACCCGGTCAAACTGCCAGCTGTCCGCAACGATGAAAATTTTCAGAGCCTCGCCGTCCAACTGGTGACAGCCTCGAATGAGCTAATGACACGCCACGGTCGCAATGACAAAGACATGGCCAAAAGAGAGAGAAAAAAAAGTTTGGGGGTTTTCCAAGAGCCTGAAGCAGGGGGTATGAGTGTGCACCGCCATATACACATACGCCTCTCCCAACTCTTCGAAAATTGCTTGATTACGACTGCTACCACCACCACAAACTGCTACCATTACCTACCACTTTTTTTTTTCTTGCTTTTCGTCAGTCTTTCTGCCCAACAAAATGCTCTTAGGGCTTCATTGGGTATCAACCGCAAAGGACCTCACGATAATTTCCCGTCTTCCGCTCCCGACGCCCGTCGAGGCCGAGTGGGAAGACGAAAAAATTCTCATCAGTCATAATAGGTCGTCTGTAAATTCATCGACGTGTTTTCTCAAAACAACGCAAAAATAGCCAAACCGTTGTTTCTCCCACGGCCAAGGCTGCAGTGGCCCCAGGCTGTTGGTGCACAGCAAAATATGGACAAGAGACAAGACAAGCAGAGGGGGGGGGAAGCAGCCGGGGGGCGTATGCGGATGCTCCGTCGATTGCCAGCTCACACCGGCCCCAATTTTGGCATTGAGGCCCAATCGTCGACGTTTGTCGTCATGCAGCTGGAGGTGCCATCGGCTGTTGATAGGACAGGCTTGTTTCCCCCAGCACCCCCTCCTCTCGTGCTCTTCTCCTCCGAGTCATGCCTCTATCTCGGGTCAAGTCTCGTCCAGCCTCTCTGCCTGCTCAGCCGATGACTCGAAATGCCTCCATCGCTTCGACATAGCGTGCGAAGCTCATGCATGATCGACCTGCTTGCTTGTGCACGCCCCTCGTCCACCGTTTGCCAGGCTTTTGTGTCCACACTGCTGCTGCTGCGCTGCCGGCAGACTCCCTTGTCCTTGTCCTTCTGCTTGGCTCACAGCCGCGTCCCAATGCTGCGGGATCCTCCTCCTGCTTGTCAGCACAGCCTGCGGTGCTCATCTTCATCCTCGTGCTTTTGCGTCTGCTTGCATCCTCCGTACTCGTATCTGATGGTCCGGCCCCACCCCCGGCCCCCGTCTTTTGCTTGTCTCGGCTCCCGGCCTCTCCCGTATTACCTGACCTCCACACCAGCCCCGACCGTCTGCTTGATGCTTGATGCTTTGGATATTGACAGCATCTCTAGCTTTTGCAGCTCATTGTATTTTGTTCTAGGCACCATTACCCTGCACAGCTCCGGCTGACAGTACTATTTCGTCTAGCAATACTCGTCTCTGTAGTTGAATCCGTGGACGCTCAATGGCCAACACCAAACACAAAGGCGTCAATATAGCAAAGATGCATTTGCATTTCCATCGAGTAATTCACACTTGACGGATCCTTCGCCGCTAAACTACATGCTCACTTCCACCTCCACAAGCCAAGCACATAGCATTACGCCCGTACCACAACGGCTGTCTTGCCAGATTTTCCATCATGTAGCATGAGATATATACCGCGCTACCCGTGGCACATCCAAATCTCGTGATCAAAAACCGGAAACAAATTCTTGTCAAAACCGGTAAACCCCGTCATCTTGATTGGCGGGCCACAGCACAGCCTTTGTCCTGCTCGAGACCTCCATTGTTGGCCTGGTGTAGCTTTAACCCAAGATTTCCAGTTTTTTTTTTATTTCGTTTTAAAGTGTGGCATAGAGCAGCGTTACACAACGAGGCGAATTCCAAGACTGGGGGTGGACGTGGCGGGAGTGGCACTTACTGTTTGACGGTCAACTTACCTACTTTGTCTTGAATGTGTGTTTTCCTGTCTCACAGTAAGCTGCAGTGAGTGGTTGAAATAGCATACATGCAGCAAAGAAGGAATGCCGTTCTTCTGCAGCCCACCACAGATTACACACACACACACCCTTCTCCTTCTTCGACTTCATCGGTGATGGGATGGTGGGTTTGGGAGCTTGGGTTGTTTCAGATGACATATAATTTTGGAAACCCGGATGCCGCCATTTGCGCAATGTCCACGGCTGAACACATGTCGGGGGCCAAAAAAGAAGCTCCATGAGCGGCCGCCTTGAGTGTTTGGCCGTGCCATCCAAGAATATGCTTTTTGGAGCTTATACGCATGTGTTGCAGCAGGTAAGCCATTCTGCTTGTTTCTTGTCAGACGGGCATGTACAGTAGCCAGTCGGACAAGCGTACATGTAGGGAAGTGATACTATGGACCCTATCTGCATGCAGTCACTCTTATCATATGCCGTCAATTTATTGCAAAAAGGCATCAGCGAGTCGGGCAATGTCGAGGGGTTCTATGTAATCAGCGGACTTATCACCGAGAGAACGTCAGACTGCGAGGCGTTACATGTTGTTTGCATTGCGTCCCCTCAGAGCGTCAAGCACATTAGCTTAAACATACCTGTAAGACCAAGCATCATCTCATTGGCTCGTCAAACCGGAGGCATTGAGACATCTTCTTGTTGTTGTCAAAAGGCTCAATTCTGACGACCTGTTTGGTCCAATTACTCAGGCCAAGGCGAAGGAATATGATCACCTGCAGGTGAGAGGAAACGAGGCGTCTCGAATGCTGTGCAAGCACATGTAGGATATCAACCCCTTGTTTATGCATATTCATCGTATCCTATTTACGATCTATCTACTTGAGCGATCCAACCAAAAAGGCTGTTTGATGGCAAAGAATGTCCGACTTCTGGATGCTGCGAAAGATGCAGTTGAGACGTCGCTCAGGCCCAGCTGCTAACCAACCAGGACAACTCTTGACCGCCTTTTGTGCGCACATGCAAGTCTGGTTCCATAGAAACTATATAAAACATGCAATTATCATGCTCATTGATGCGCTGCAGACCTATCCAGCCTCACTTTTAGGAAACCTGACTCGGTTGGATCCTTGGCTCTCATGCGATAGCTGCAAGAAAGTGGGCGAGGCGGGCTGCTTATCACCAACATGAACAAACCGCATCGCTGATAAGTTTGCGGTCTGTTCAAAGACATTCACGGCAGACGTCAACGTAGCGATGGATACAAGTTGCGGAGCGTTCAAGTGTTCATATGCAGACATGCGCCCGTAGCCTTGATAGCATGCATTTGCATAGTGCCCATATCTCTTCCTCTCTCCAGTAAACGGGATACCAGTGTTTTTTTTTATCTTTTTTTATATTTCATTTTTTGTGAATTTAGTAGCAATGGATATCAATTCCGAAACTCCATGTTCATAAAATGTTGCTTTGGAGACGATGCCAATCAGGAGGCACGCTCCGGGTATCATTATCCTCCGAAATTTCCTATTGTTGAAAGAGACGTTGATCATAAAATATCAATACGGCTGTTTTTTTAGCCAAAATGGAGACTTCCCGTCAATTCTCATGAAGAGGGGTCCACGGCAATCTCAAGGTCCGAAATCACGGGCCTGTGATCCGACACGCGGATCTGATCGTCATAGACGTTCTCCAACACGCTAAACGTCTTGACGACAGCCGTGCGAGGCTCCTGGATAAAGAGAAAGTCGATGCGCTGCGGCCACTCGTTGGGCTCGCCAAAGCTGGTGTAAGTCAGGCTGTTTCCGTGGTGCTTGTCCGCGGGTAGCAGATCCGACAGGTCGGACATGCCAGACCCCGGCGCCGTCATGAGCTGGTAGGCCACGTCATCGGGCGTGCTGTTGAAGTCGCCGCCAATGAGCACCGCCGAGTTGTTGTTGTCCTGGCTCCATTCGCGGGCGTACTGCAGCAGCTGCTCGGCGCTGTGCTTGCGGGCCTTTGCGTACTTGTAGTCAAAGTGCGTGCTCATGACGACGACTCTGGTGCCGGTGACCTTGTGCGAGAACTCGCCCATGGTGACGACGCGCTTGTGGGGGGCGCCCCATCCAAACGACGGCTTCTCGGGCGTTGTGCTCAGCCACCGCGTCTGCGAGCGCTCGAGGAACCAGACGTCGGACCGGTAGAAGACGGGGGAGAATTCGCCCTTTTTCTTGCCGTCGTCGCGGCCCCGGCCAATGTACGCCCATCTGGGGCCCAGACTGGCCTGGATGTCCTCGATTTGGTTGTAGAGGGCCTCCTGGAGACAGAGAAAGGCGTTTTCATGGCCGGCGGTGATGAAGTCGATTTGGTTGATGAGCTTGGGGCCGCGCTCGTCCCACAGCTTCTCGCCCTTGACCGGGCTTGAGGTGGCATATCTGATGTTGAACGTCACCATGCGCAGAGGCAGGGTAGGGCTTAGATTAGTCACGTCCATCCTGGTAGGGTCGTAATCCAGATCCTGCGGCTTGTTGTTGAACTCGAGACCGCTGTCGCGGCGAGCAGCTGCGTCAAACCACGCCTCGAAAGAATCGCCCTGCAAGAAGAAGAGTGTAGTGCTCCAGCTGACGAGAGCGCACAGCAATACGAAGCCAACGATGGCAGAGCGGAGCATCTTTGGCGACAATACCGCTCGAGGCCAGACTTTTAATCTCGAGGTCACCATAAACCTTGAGAACCAAAAACGTTGCGCCGCTGGGGCAAACCGCTTTTAAAGCTCTGTTTTTGAATTTCTCTTTTATCGTCACCTCAACGGATCCGGAAGTTGGAGGGGATCAATCGGAACGATTTATTTATCACGTGGGGCGAATTGCTCGAATGTGCGGAATCCACGGACTAGCAAGAGCCGAAAAGGGCAGTCGAGGAAGTGAGTAGAAGGCTCCGGATTTGGGTGAGGAATCGAGTTGAAGGGGGATTGTCCGCTGGAATACGTGTATAAACAACCAGCTGCGCCGGAAGACAGAAACCCACAGTCAAGAGCAGACGGAAGAAGGTGGCTAAAGGTGGAATTAAGCCTTTGGTTTCTAATCCGGAGATCCGGAGGGTTATGTAGTCTTCGATGGGTCTGACTTGAGGCTGGCGACAAATGCACGATTGTATAATCCCGCGCGGGCCGAAGGAAAACAGCACCAAAGGACAGACGAGGAAACGGTCCTCTTGGCGCCGGAGCCTTGTTGGCTTTTCGACCAGGACTGCGACAGCGACTACGTAACGACGCAAGGATGGCCGTCGGTTGTATTTGGCCCTCAAATCGGATGCGAGATATTCTTATCGGCGGTGTTTAGTACGAGAGTCCGATAGGCTGCTTCTGGGTGTAAACCCGGATTTACGCGTATGTACGAATAGCCTACGGCGTACTAGTAGATAGTCCAATACCAATGATGCATTTCTACAGTGGATTGGACGAGGTTTCGCTTGTACAAGTCAAGTTGCAGAAATTGCTCTTCTCCTCAGTGCGGCACACTTGCGGCCAAAGACGCGAGATGCACGTAGACGGAGGGAGATGATCGACAACAAGCAATCAGGAATATGCGGTTGTGCACACAGTGATGGTACGAGCATCACTGTAGGTCCATGTAGAGAGCAATGCACAAGGACGAGCGCGTTATAGAGTGACGATACGATAAGTGACGCTCGGGCTGGATGGTGGACAAAGCGACGATAGACACGCAATTGCCGCGCAAGCCCCGACTTGCAGAACCGCGAAGACGCAACTCCCCAAACGGAAAGGAGACGAACAAATTAAATACAAGTGAAGGCTCAAGTAAAGCATTAGCAGCTGCCTACTGCATCCGATCTAGTGCATCGGCCGATGCTCCGTGTCAGTACAAGTATGCAAGTTGCACAGGATTCAGAAAAAGACAAAATAAATGTCGGAACACGGAAAATATTCAAGCTCAAGCTGCGACCCTGCGGCTGCCGAAAAGGCCGACATGTCGTCATTAGTCCAGGAATGGCTGGTGCAGATTCGAGGACCGCAACAAGCGCGGGATCGAGCAGGGGTTGACCTGGATGGGGAGAAGAGCGGAGAGATGAATAAGAGACAAGAGGGAATCAAACGAGGGCATCATGTGCTTGGGTCACGACTTGGGCTTGGCGGCAAGGATGAGGAGCAGAGACAGTATCTGCCGGGATTTAGTCTCGATATAAGAGAATATAATGTAATGGAAATGCAACAGGAGAACCTGGAGGTTGCTTGACATATTAATTCTGGGCTGCTGCCAGGTCCGTCAATATATGAGGCGAGTCCAGTAGTCTGATCACGACGACTCATGGCTCGACTCGTTTTTTTTTCTTGGTCATGCTTACCGTGTTGTGTGTTCGCCAGGATGCCAGAAACCGCTCAACCAGAGAAGCGTGCTCCTTCTCGCCCTGTTTCTATGACGCGTAGAGGGCCTTTTTTGCGTGAATTTCTCATGCTGGTCCCTGTCACATTTGCTGCTACGAGCGCGGCTTGGAATCACGTATCAGCAACAGAGGTCTCATGAGAATCAAATCCTTCCCTTTGCAATATCGATCGCGACGGATGCTGGATGGAAACACAGAACGCGCCCAGAGAAGCCGGGCAACCGTTCTATATTGGGATGTGGCACATCTTTTGTAAATTCTCGAATCAACATTCCATTCTTATTGTCATCTCTAGCTCCGAACAAGAAAACTGGCTTTTGCGCCTCTCCGTTGCCCGCACTAACTAACTCGTGGAAGCTGAGCTGACCGGCGCCAATAATGGACGAGGCCATCGAACGCCATCGTGCTCAGCTCGACGGCCGCATTCGTCGCTTGGGAGGCTGGAGCAAATCAGCAGACGCAGAGGGCCCGGCCCACCATAGCTGAGGAGAGCATAGTTTGGAGCGGTGGTGTCTTAGGATTTAGAGTCTTGGAGAGCATGTGTCCGGAAATGGCAATCTATTCTAAACGGGACGGCATCTGGAATTGCATGTGCTTCGTACTACTCCGTACATATGCACTCGTATACACGTATCCTGACAGATACGGTAACCTCTCGCTCACTCAGATCCAAGTAGTATACGGTATGACGACAGTGACGAGCCCAGCCGAAGCTCCCGCGCCGCGCCGTAGCTAGCTTGCGGCGTTCCATTTTTATCCTTTGCCCGGCCGTTCTGCTGGTGGAAGACGACGAGCCCTTGATCGACAAGGCCATGGCAAACGCTTGCCGTCTTAGGCGCCACACGCGGCAAACATCCATCATGCAAGGAACCATGCAGTGATCGTTTGCATTCCAGCATGCAGCTTCCAAGGAACAAGGAACTCGATCGATGCGAATCATGCAGATGGCATGTTTTCACGCTGCTTCGGGTGGGCGTGACCTGGGTTTCAAACCCACCAGATGGATAGCGGGGGGGAAAAGACGAGATAGCATCATTCAATTCGCAAACCCGCCCTAGCAGAACGAGTCATCTGGCCCTCTGGTCGAGATGGTGTGCTCTAGTCTCAGCTTACGAGACTCCAAAAGAGGCTCCCAAATCCCTTGCAGTCGTTAGTTGAGTCTCCCCGCGTCTTTGTTTCTCGTCATTCGGGTGGGCTCTTGACACGGGCCGCTCATTCGCCGCCTTCTCACCACCATCCCGGAATGCTCATGGACACCATGGCTTGCGACTATTTGCCCATGGCGGAAATGCCTGATGCGGCAGATATTGGCTTCTGGCTCACACCACAACGGCCAGCCTGCACGCCCTTTTCAGCCCTCTTTCCTCCCGTCGTGTCACGCTCATGACTTGGCCCGGGCGAAAGAGCCTCTGCTCTCGCGTTTTGTGAGAAATGATACTCCGTACAGACGGCTCTCGGCTGTCACACTCGGTGGATCCAGCCCCAGACGCCTCTCTCATAGGCCTCCTTCACGTGGGCGCAGCTCTCTCATCTACCGCTTGCTGATGACCATCAAAGCACCTCACAAGGCCAAGCCGGAGCCGTGCGCCCACCCTTGTCTCTGCCCATCACGGGCTGCATTGGTGACGTTTTAGAACGCACCAGCTCTTGGCTATCGAGCCGTTATTGTCTTTACGGCAGAGAGAGAGGTGGGGGGTGGTAGGGGCGTTGCATTGAAAGATTCTCGCCCTATCCAGTCGGCATACCCGCTGCCTGCATTGCATATATATCTGCAGCTTATCTCGCTGCCTCGCCAGGCTCACTTGACTGGCCACATATTTACCCTTGGGCTTCTTTTTGATATTCTGGACCAGCTTCTCTGGTTCTCCGTGAAGGATCGCTTCTTTTTCAGTGGCTGTTCAGCATTTACCGTCGGGGGCGCCGCCAAGCCACCGACCGACCTCCTGCTCCCTCTCCTCACTCTTTCGCCTTACTCGTGAACTCTGCGAGGGGACTATTCGTTCACGCTCAGGGATTGGACCTGTCATAATTTCTTTCCCGTCTGAGTCATCCAATTAGGTGGTGGCTTGAAGGCATCGACAAAGAGTCCTATCTATCTACCTAGACTTAGTGCCAATCTGCCTTGCCTTGCATCCTACTTAAACCCCTGCCATCCACCCGTCCTTTGTTTCCCCAGACAGAAGCCACTTGAGCCAAAAATGCCTATGGAATCCATCTTCTCTTCTCGCCGAGAATCCTGGCCACCTACCCAGCTCCGCTTGACTCCAGCCATGTCCATCAAGAAGAGGTCCGGCATTGAGCATCTCGAGCCTCGGCCGCTGCTCGAGGACATTGATGACAACCCGCTCACCTACTTCCTCACTCCCATCCCTGCAGAGGACGAGGATGACGAGATGGACTTGGACGTCGACATGATGGATTTCGACGCCGGCATCGAAGACGCCAGCCAGCCCCGCGAGGCCGTCCGCAGCGTCAGTCCCTCTTCTCTCGAGGGTCTCCGCAAGCCCGACAGCACTCGCCCGGCCTCGCCAGACTTTGACTCGGACGCTCTAACCACCGACGACGACGACGATGAGGAATACATTCGCTTCTCTCCCACGTCGTCGTCCTTCTCGCTCTCCCCTCTGCGAGACCTTGCCATCGACGGCCTTCGCTTCCGTGCCAAGAGCCCCGTCTTCGGCCTTTCCGCCAACGCTCTACTCTCGCCCAACTCCGTGCCGGCGCCGGGCCGTAGGGGCAGAGGTCGCACAAACAGCCGCGGATCGACCCGCCAACAGACCCGGAGCCTGTCTGTCCGCGCCAGAGACGACCACCTGTGGAGGGAACCCAGTCCCGACGTGTGGTCCATCGAAGAAGAGACTGAGGAGGAGTTGATGAGTGATGCGGGTGTAGACAACAAGGCTGCAAAGCCAAAGAAGAAGGTACGCTTCGTGCTCCCAGACAAGGAGTAACAACACGGGCGGGGGTGCATATATTAAATCAACCATTCTTGCATTGGGCGGCGTTAAAGGGCGGATCTATTCATTTCCGTGGCTGGAGGCTTGATTTGTTTTGATTTTCAGCATTTGGTCTGCTGGTACGTGTTATCCGGTATAGCATTTCAAGGCGTTTTGGGTGGTTGCAGTGTTTTATGCATTATAATGGCAGCTTCTACGTCTGCAGATCTTGTTTCTTGTTTATGGGCCATCGCAAGCTGGGACTTACGGTGGAGAGGAGGCATAATAAAGGACCGGACGGTGTGCATTTGTTTGTTTGTTTGCTTTGTTTGTTGCGATTATACCAACCGGGGGTGGCATCTGTTGGAGTTTGAGGCAACTTTTGATCGACCATAGTTCTGCTGGGTACTACTATATGCTTACTAGTTATCACCAAATTGACTCTTCACTTTTCCCTTTGAGAAATACAATACTACAGAACAAGAAAGTCGTGCAAGTTTACATATGTAGAAGAGGTAGAATAGCGGAAGAGGGCAAAAAAAGAAGTCTCCGATACTGGGAATCGAACCCAGGGCTGCTCGGTGCTTCAACCAGAAGTTGAGAGCGAGCGATGTTAGCCACTACACCATATCGGAAGCGGATGCGGATGCTAGTGTTGGCCGACAATTGCATCCATCAAGCTCCCTCACCGCAAGCCCGGTTAACGCCAAAGATTATCGCCACAATGAAAACATGCGCTTCGACGCTGATCCATCCATAGGGCAGCCGATAAGCGCTTAGCCCACGACTTGCATATGGACATGACTTGCAGGCATAAGATTGCCCAGAAATCGCATTCCTTGGCGTGACCTGTCATTCAGGAATTGATCGCGCATTGCGCTCATTATTGGCCTAAGGTGGTGCTGGGTGTGGGGCATTGATCAGCTGGACCGGGACAAGAATGGAGGCAATGGCCATGGCGAGCTGAGAGGGTGAGACGTGTGTATGGGCTGGGGAGGAGGCTGTGAAGACGGCATGATAGGGTGAGAGGGTTCGGGGATGCCGGTGAGAAGTGATGAGGAGATGTGTTGTGTTTGAGGGAGGGAGAGGAGAGGAGAGGAGAAAAGAGAGGGAGATGTGATGTCGGCTGCATGGAGTGGTTCGTTGGTGAAGGAGTATTGTATGAGTGCTGGAGAAGACGGAGATGCTGAAGCCAATCGAGACAAGGAGTGGGGAAACAAAGAGTGTGTAGGTGGTAGATATGGAGTTGGTGGAGAGTCCGATGCCACCTTGTGACTTGCTCTAGATAGTGGTTATCGAGTGGTATAAGTGGGATATGACGGCATGACAGATGGGGATACGTTACTCTAGTTTAAACATAAGAGCGAGGGCCGAATCTATCTGAGGTAGCAGGGAAGAACAACGTGGGCATGAATTGTGAGATGTGAGCGAGCTTGCGGTTGGAAGGCATTGGTTATGCCGTTGATGCTGGTGGAGCGCAATTGTTTGTTTTGTCAGTTCACGGACCGGTATATGAGATGGTGTGTAAGTCGAATGCATCGGCGATGAGCTGCGTATGATATTGACCCGATCAACACGTGTTGATGGTCGGAAAGAACAGGTAAGCATATAATAATAGAACTAGCAGGGCCCATGATTACAGGCAAACGCATGGATACATTTGAACAGTTGAATGCTTTGGATTACAGGGTAAGTTGGTAGATATGTGTAGTTGGTGTAGTAGGGATATATCATCCAGATGCGGCCAATGCAAGGTCGCTGATCAACATAAACAAACAAGACGATAATCTCCAGAGATCTGGCCGCGAAAATCGATGATCCCGATGCGGTGCCGTGATCCTGGTGCTCGCCCCTGCTAGGACGATTTCATCTTCACCAAAGCAAAGAAGAGGAAACAATAACAAATCAAGGCAGAGATCCAGCCCATGGATCCATCATCAGCCACAACAAGAAAGAGAGCAAGCCACCAGCCCGTTTGGGGTTAGCCGCAATATGCCACTACCTACCAAGTAAGATTGAAGCAAGTTTCTAGTGATACTGCTGCCACTAGACGAAAATCAAGTCCGCCTCTGATTGGCCGCGGCCCGGGCCTTCAGTGGCTTTCCCTTGCCAGTGACGCTCCAGCTGTGCCAAATTGCACTGCATTGTTTATTACCTTTACAGCGGCTTTGGAGGCGACCCCGCTGGTTACTGCGGCACCCAGCAGCTTCAAAGCTTGGATCCATCAGCATAAGCGGAATCCGGAGCCTGTAATCAAATCATAGCGGGCAGTCAGTCAATCGAAACGCCTCGACTTGCACTGTACACGCATCATTCCCGTCATCATCCACTACGAATATACACACCTAGACGTCACCAGTGCGGTCCGCTGTCGCTCTTTTTTGCTTCAAGGCTTACTCTCTTTATTCTGCCGTTCCAAGTCCTCCAACTGGGCTTGAAACCACCAACCCTGGTTATTGCCATCTCGCGCTCCCTCTCTCTCTTTTTCTTCTGACGACTCCCACAAGCACGACAGCGTCTGTACCCTGTTTGCGGCGGCCGTTTTTGTTGTTGGTAGCGAGCAAAACACTGGAGGCTGCCACGGCTGGCCTGGGAGCTTCGAGCTTAGCATGTGCAACAGCCAACGCGACACTACAAACAAACATCCTCGAATCCTCGATGCGAACAGCATGCTGCTCAAATGAGGTGAGTAACGCAGCACGAATTCCACGTCTTCTTCGTCTGGGTTGCCCCGCGCCTCAATCACTGGCTGCCCGGGACAAGAGCAATTGCGAACAAGCTTAAACTCAAGCATCTTGGGCAGCTTGGGCCACTTTGCTCTCCGGCCTCTGTGTCCAACGCCATACCCTCGCCATCAGAGCTGCCCCCACGCATTGTGGTGAATTGTTCTCGTGGCGTGTATGGGCATCTCTTTATTTCGACCTTGGTGGCGGCATTCAGACTAACAGTGCGATGCTTAGCAGCTCAATAGACAATGACCTCGTCCTCCGATTCCTCTGGCGAGAGCACCGCGCCACCCAACCCCACGACCTCGGCCAATATTCCCGATACCACCAAAGATGATAACGCGGCGGGCGACAAAAGCACTCCTGGAGAGGCCCCTAAGCCTGCTCCGGCTGCGGCTGCGGGAAACCGCCCGCGGGCCAACACCACCAAGAAGTCGGAGCCCCCTACTCTTCTCCACGACTTTCTTCTAGGGCGGCCCTCCCCGGCGAGGTTGGAAGCGGAGCGCAAGCGACGGCAAAGCATGGATGCAACCAAGGCTGACATGCGCCATGAGATGAGACAGAACTTGGTGCGCAAATTGCAGCCTCCAAGTGGTGTTAAGGACAGAGTGAATAAGTGGCAAAAGGCCAATGCCGCTGCTATGGCGGACGCCGACCCAGATGATGCAGCCACAGAGCCGACAGACGTCGCTTTTGCCGGAGAAGAGTTGGAAGACGTGACAGAGGAGGACCGGGTGCGCATCAAGATGAGGCAAAAGAGGAGACCGCCCAAAAAACCCATTGTCCACAACGGCACTGCGGCGCCCGAGAAAGAGGAAAAGGAGCAGATCCCTCCTCCTAAGAAGAGGATCGTGAGCGACGACCATTGGGTCAAGCCCAAAGTCAGGAAGGCGTCTGTTAGGAAGGTGTCACCTCGCCCGCGTAAGGCGAGTAACCCGACCCAGGCTGCCCGTATTCCAAATGGCTTTGTTTTCAGATCGGTACCTAACCCGACCTTTCAGAGCAAGGTTAAGGCTTGGGCTGAAAAGGTCGTTACCCCACCGCCGAAAAGCCTCAAGGGGTCTTTATCCTCAGACATGTCTGCTTCTGAGGATGAGGATGAGGATGATAGTGACCAGGACGAAACAGCAACCGAAGTCACTGCGAGAAAGCCTATCAGGCCCAAGACGGACGATAATGATGGCATTCGTGTCCGACCAATACGGAAAAAGGAATCTGAAGACGATGGTATCCGCGTTGCGCCCATGAAAGCTGCTCCGGCCGCTGCTCAGGATGATGGCATCCGCGTTGCGCCTATGAAGGCTGCACCGGCCGCTGCTCAGGGTGATGGCATCCGCGTTACACCTGTGAAGGCGCCAGCTGCAGCTCAGGACGATGGAATCAGAGTGAAGCCAATGGCTGATTCCAGATCAGAGCCAGGAACCCCAAGGCCGACACGACAGCGAAGCAAAACTGCAGGTGCTGCGCCCAAAAAGCACACAATTCAAGATTTGATCAAAGCCGTTGAGGAGGCGACCCAATTATCAATGTCCGATGACGCAGATTCCTACCTCGATACCCAGCAACGGCAGAAACCTCGACCAGGGGGCGTGAAAAGAAGTGGAACGAAGCGTCCGAATACTAGGGCCAAGTCGGCAGACGTCAGCTCCCGCGCCAAGCACCCTCCTCATGTTCCAGACTCTGATCTGGGCACATCATTGACTAACAAGTCTCTGGCCGACATCCCAGGAGAAATCCCGTTTGGACATTCCGCCTTTAGTGAGTTGGATTTGCCTCTACGGGGTCCTCCCAAGAGTAAACCAAAAGAACAGCAAAAGCGTTCAAAGCTTGACCGCGCAACGAGCCTCAAGGCCATGCCAAATGTATTAAAGAAGGTAGTGGAGGAGGGTAGGAAAATTATTCAGGAGATCAATGAGGCTCCGAGGCATGCGGTGCCCAATAACCCCCCAAGCATCGAGACATGGCTCAACAACACCGTCGAACCTTATGATAAGAACAAGAGGCCACACTCTCCCACGTCCACGCTATCTGATGAGGACGACAGCGAAGATGACGATGACACCATTGGAGAGGCTGCGCCTAAAGAGACGACGCCTAAGGTGACAACACCAAAGGCAACAACACCAAAGACGACAACACCAAAGCAGACGACACCAAGAAAGACTGCATCAAAAGAGCTTAAACCAAAAGAGACGGCATCAAGAGACACTGCGTCTAGAGAAACTATCTCTAAGGAGACTACGCACAAAAGAAAGCCCTCGGCAGAGACAAAGAGCTCAATGGTTTCTGATTCTCGTGTAGTCTCCAATGTTACCTCCGACGTCACCTCTTACCTGACTTCCAGCACGACGCGGTCGGATGAGACAGCTAAGAGTGCCCCTGATCCTACACACTCAGCTTCAAAATCAGATTCAAAGACTAAGGATTTTGCCAAAAAGAAATCGCCATCCTCCTCGAGTCTAAAGAGGAGGAGCGCAACGAGAGATTCTATTCATTCCAAATCGGGTAGTAAACGACGACCGTTCTTTGGTGCCCTGAAAGAAGCGTTTCAAGGAGAATCTGCAGGGCTTACGAAACCCATAAAGAGCTACCAGAGTCATGAAGAGCGTGAAATCGAATCTGAGGATGACGAGCTGGACGATGATGAAACAGAACACGAAGCCGATTCACAGTACATGCAGTCCAATTCAGATTTGAGTAGCTGGGTTACGACAGACACCCGCTCGAGCAGTGATCGGGACTCATCAGCCCTCAGCTCAGCAAGAGGGATACCGCATATTGCTGGACCACGTCTCCGTCCTCCTACAAAAGGCCATGAGCTTTCGACAATCCTCTCCGAGGGCTCTAGTGCCAGCCATTCGGAAACTGCGTCGGATGTGAGTCAATCTACTCTCACTCGCTCAACGACGGTTACAAAATCGAGTGACCCAAAAATCCCACAGCGACAGGGTTCAGGGCTCAAAAGGAGGCTGACAAAACACTCTGACTTGGTTTCCGTTCTCTCACTGCCTGATGATACCAACGTTCCCCAAGGAATCATGAACAGCAGATCAAGACCGAGTCTGCGGAAAGCACGCGGCTTGTCCAACAATGTAACTGCTGATGATTTGCTGAAAGAGTTTGCCGATGACGAAAACCTGTATCAACGTGAGCTCAAGACATTAGTCGATGGCGTGGTGCCCGTGCTTCTTTCTCACGTAGTGAGTGACACAACTTCACCTTCCGATCTCTTCGGGACTGCCTCTCCAAAGATCAAGGTCGACATTACATCCAAGTCTGTCGTCAACATGGGAGTTGCTCTTGAGAAGCTCAAGAATGCACACGCCAAGGCCCCCTTGACAGACATCCGCCGAATGGCCAACTGGGCCCACGGCGTTGTCCCGATTTACAATAACTACCTAGGTGTCTGGAGACTAGGCTTCCAAGACCTCATAGTCAACCTCGCGCCTCGGCGAGGTACCCCGGATGAAGACGACTCTATCCTCGATTCATTGCCAAGAAATGCGAATGGCGATCTCATCAACGCCCAGGGAGAGCGTGTGGCCGTCGCCTATCTCCTGAAGCGGCCCCTCCTCCGCGTGAAACAGATGGCCCGTTTGATCGTCTGCGTCGACCAAATGTTTACCTCGCCTGATACCAACCAGTTAGTCAAAGATTTCGAGGCGCTGCAAGAAAAAGCTCGTCAGCGCCACAGAGAGGAAGTTGCGAGGATCATTGATGAAGAAGCCGCCAACACTGATACCACCAGAGCCAGAGATCTCAGAACACTTGGCCCAACCAAGTCTATCACTGTCGGCCTCACTCGTCAAGTTAGTGCCAAGGATATCTTTTCGCTTGACCTTGTCCATTCCAATGGTCAAAGGCTGGAGTGTCAGGTCGAGCTGGTACACCGAGATAACCAAAGCCGCCCTGAAGATAGAGGAGATCTTCTCATTCGGGAAGTGGGAGATGGTCGGCGATCATATCTCCTCTTCCCGCCCATCTCCATGTCTCTTGTCTCTGCTCGCTCAGGAGATGGAAAGTTGGACATGGTGGTCATGGTCCGTGGTAACCACAATGGGAAGCCATGGCATGAGCTGCTCAATCTCTGGGCAGACGAAGAGGAGCAGATTCTGGACTGGCTCGATATCCTGCCGTCTTCTCCTGTCCCGCCCAGGGAGCCCGAACCAAGTGTCATTGACGAATCTGAGCTGGGATCAGACTCTCCTAGGTTACCTGACGTCCCCGTCGGAGTTCAGAGCATGGTGAGCGCGGCATCTCGATCCGAATACACCGACGGAGAGGACTCTGATAGTAGTGTTGCGACTCCACCGACTCCTACACGAGCCGCCCCTGGACCTCCAGGCAAAGATAGAAGCAAGACGGGGTCTGCCTCTTCGAAGCAAATTCCCGTGATATACCACAATGACGCGCCACCGCCGCGACCACCGGTTCACCGAACCCTCAGCCCCACGCCTCAGCAAGCACCAAAGTCCCAGTCATTGCTTCAACCACCGGTCGACATGCACGCCATAAAGCGAAGAGGTTCTTCTCCTCTTAAGCATGAGTATCTGCCTTCTGAGGTATCCTCGGCCTCGGGCCTGTCTTCTTCTGCAGTGTCTTCGATAGTGGAAGAAGGAGAAGAATCGGAATCGGAAACTGAAACAGAGGAAGAGGATGTGTCTGCAACTGAGAGCGAGTCTGAGTCATCCGACGAGGAGTTGGAGAGCCTTGACATTCCTCAGACTGAACTTGGCTACAGCATCAGGGATGAAGGCCAGAGAAGAGGCTCGTATGCACCTTCGTATGCACCCTCGTATGCTCCTGCATCTGAGGTTAGCTTGACGCCATCCAACTCTGCCTCCCAAGCCGGTCTCCATGGACGGAAGCCTTCAGAGGAAGACGGCAGCATTGCGAGATCGGGACGATGTCTAGCAACCATCTCCAGATGGTCTGACAAGGGCGCGTGGAAGGACGTTCATCCTGATCACTGTTCGATTGTGGTTAAAGATGGTCTTATTGAGGCGTTTGCTTTCCGAGATAGCAACTATACTCAGCTCGACGATAGGCCCATTGTTGCATTGGATCTTACCCCGTTGGTCTTGATTCGACAGAGCACTGCAGTCGACCTCGAAATCAGATCATCAATGCAGCCTCATAGCAAGTTGGCGCCAGTCTACCAGGGCGGCAACTTTCGCTTCCGGTGCATGAACGGTCCTGACTGCTACACTCTCTACACGGCTGTCCACCACGCTCGCCTCAACAACCAAAAGTTTATCCAACTGGAGAATGAAGCCCGGTTCAGAAGCTTTGGGGAGCGACCAGCTCCACCCGAAGATGGAGACAAGAGCAGCCGGGCTCGCAGCTGGTTTGGCAGAAAGAACAGCTACCGCAGCTCAGTGAGGGCACCACAGTCACAACAATTTGATGGTGCCAGCACTACACCTTCGTCGACGCTATCTGCCTCCAGCTTCCTCAAGAAGCTCACTCTTGTTGGAAACCTCTCTTTCAACCTGGCCCGGTCATCTGTTGATAAGCGTGGCGGCCGAGGTGGAAGCGGCAACAACAGCCTGTATACATCAGGCTCTTCGTCAGGATATGGGTCACCTCGATCGCCGTCAGTTAGCGTGGACAATGGCGGTGAGATGCCGGTAAACCTTGGCACCGAGAACATTCGCATCCGGCTACATCTTCTTGTTTCGCCGGCCAAGTGGGAAGACTATGGTAACTGCAGTCTACAGATCCGCCGACCACCCCCTGGCTGGCGCCAGGCCCTTCGAGCAGATCACGGTCTTGAGAAGCGCGTCACGGTTACGACGATGCCAAAGAAGAGCTCTGAGAAGCCCATTATTGTACTGGATGCCGTTCTAGGAAGTGGATGCTTCACCCCTATGGGAAGTAGAGGTATCGTCTGCGGTGTCTGGGAAGAAGTCAAGAACGGTGAAGGAGTTGTCGGCGGCGTTCCGGCAAACGGAGCTACAGGAGGAAACATCAAGAAATGGTGTTTCCAGTTCGCCAGCGTAACTGAAGCCGGCTGGGTGCTACGACTGGTGCACCAAGAGGTTGTTACTGCTTGAACGACTGAGGATCGTTCACTCACGAAAGGATAGAGAGAGATTTCAACGTCGAGATGGCAACTTTCGCTCTCTCGATTTGTTATACGAACCGTTCACTTTTCACCCATTTCTTTTTTTTCTTTTTTTCATATCATAGAAACATACATACCACGTCTTTTGTATTAGTTATTTGCATCATCCGTGGCTACATTATATCCCCTATTTCGCCACACAGCGAGGAGTTTGATATCTGTACATGCGAGAAACATTTTGTATTTAAATAAGGGGAGGGCATAAAGCATGGAAGCGGGTAGCGGATCATGGAAGAAACAGTTTGCTTCTCTTTAGATGCTCCCAAGTGTTTTGATAGGTAGCGAGGAAGTGCATCAGCGGAAAAGGGAGAAGGGCTACATAACTGTGCGAGGGGGAGACTGGCTTAAATAAGGTTAAAATTATGCTACAAAGACAAAAATATGTCTATACTGTGGGATGCTATCTGAATCGTGCCTCTGTGTTGTTGTGCGAAGTTTGGGAGAATTTTTGGATGTGAAGAAGCATGGCATGCTTGAGACTTGGATTTGTTTGTTGCCATCATTGATACGAGATGTTTACCTCACTTGTACACTTTGCCCAGAGGCGTTTGTACCTCGATGTACTTCTAAGTTCCTCTTACATCTTACCCACGAGTCAAGCGCCACCCCCCTTTGAAAGTCCTCGGACGGACGTTTCATATAGAGCCCAGTGGCAAGCACATCTACACAGGCCGGGACAAGCGGGACATAGTCTTTGTCCTACCTAGCTGGGGATAATCAAATAGCAAAAGTTGCGAGAGTGGTTTAGTGGTTTATATGGCTGGCCCCCTTTCTTGGGTCCCCCTGTTTTCTATGGTGGCGACTATTTTGCTCGGGGGCGGCAAAGTAGACAGCCTTGGCGACTGGAAGAATCTATTCCGTAGAGGCGTAGAGAATTGGGGGGCGTGTAAAGTTGTGGAAGGAAAGGGGGGAGTGGGACTTTGTTTGTTTGTATTGATGTTTGCTTCGAATGGGGAGGGAATTCGGCCGAGGCGGGTTTTCGACCTTCTTGGTTCTAACGCTGGGGCGAAAAGATAGACAGCTTCGTTTGTCTGTTTTTGGTTGGAACGAGCAAAGGACCGGAAGTATTGGCCTAAGGTCCTCATTTAGTTCGATACAATATTGGGTCAAGGGGTGACTTGCGATGTAGATCAGAAGTCCTCGACGACGAAAGGAGCAAAGGTTGGGGCACTGTGTTGAAGCATTTGCTAGCTGGATCGGAGGGATATCTTGGTCGTTTCTTAAGCCCTTGTTGGGATGCTCCGACGGGTGCAGAAGGGTGAAGTTGAAGGAGCTTGGTAGCCTTGTTTTGCACGGATGGGTGATGGGTGTTTGATGGAATGATATAGGGGAACATGGATGAGGAGATGCTTGAATATACAGACGATGTTTTGGATTCGAGGTTTGATTTTCAGTGGGCAGCGTATACAGGCCTGTGTCTGAGATCTTTCGTTTTTATACATTCAAGCAGTATCTCCCAGAAGAACAAAGCACAAAAGGAGAAACACACTCACGAGAAAAGGCCAAAGTCGAAGACTCCCCCCTCCAGCCCCCCTTCCATGAAAAGACTCAAAAGCCACAACAAACTCATCAATAACAAACAAACCAAATGGGAAAAAAACAAAAACAACCCTTCTTCTCTTCCCCTTTTCACTCATCCCGTCTTAAATTCGCCCCCAAAAAAATAACGCCCCTTTGAGTAAAAAACACGCAAAAACCTCGTATTTGCTCACTCTCTATTTCTCACTTCCCAGAAAGAAAAAAAAAAACAACGCCAGTCTACATTGCCCAAAAAGCCCATTCACCACGTCCTTTTACGCCTTTCCCAAACGGTCCTCGTAAACAAACACGAACAAGCATTCCGTTCTAATAGTGTCTCTATAATCCCCTCCCCTTCATATCATGCAACTTGGAAAACAAACATCGTCAAATATTGGGGGGGCAACCAAACTCGGCAACATGACAAATCCTTCCCTCTATCAACCGTCTTCACCAGACAAAGAGAGAAACGGTACAAAAGACAAGCAAGCCAAGCAAAAAAAAAAAAAAAAAGCACTCAATCGTTCTTTTCCTAAAAGGTGAACCCATGCATACTTTTGTACACTCGTACATAAATAGACCGTTTGGGCCCCCCTGCCACCCATTTCTCGTATTCACAAGCGTCCACCCCATGGACTAGACCTAGAACGGGACAGATATCCGCCATCGCCTAATCCATAGCCACCAAGCAATCATCCTGTCTCTCTTTCTCTCTTTGTCTCTCTCTCCCTCTCTCCGTTTTGCTTCTGAACCTGGCCCTATACGAGTAACCACTTCCAGTGTCTCCGTATTGGCTCCCTCATCCCAAGTCCAGTTCATCCAATCCCACAAGAGGGGTTCCCGTAAGCCAAAATAGAAAACCGAGTTGTGCCCGTTTCCAGGTCACAGCCCAGCCCAGCCCAGACCCCCCATCTCACCGTTTCGTCTCCCACAGGGGGGTGTCAAGTCGGTTTGCTAGCAAGCTGCAGGAGAGGTAAAACCGGAACCAGCCAGGGCGGCTAATGTACGCCAAAGGGTCATAGTCGGGGACCCTGCGTGTTAGCTGGGCAAAAGAGAATAGAGAAAAACCCCAAAGAAAACATGGGTGGCCGGGGACCAGCCGGGCAAATCATAAGCAGAAAGATAATGCAGAGTCAAGGGGACAGTTGCCGCCCCAAGATAGCCCGACAATCATCCCAAGAGCGGAACAGTTGATTCCGACTGCAATTCCCACTTGGGACCGCTTGTGGCCGTTTGAGGCCGCCCGAGACCCCTCAGGACCGCCCAGGACATGGGGAGTATCTGAGCCTACATGACTCTGGCTGGCATCGAGATCGGTGGCAGAGGCCCAGTTGAGAGTGTCTTGGATGGGACTGAAAAGAAGAGGGGGGCACTGGGAAGGTAAAGAAGAAAAGATGAAACCAATCAAGGAAGGGAAAACGAAAAGCAAACCTGGAAAGGAGTAAGCCCCTTCACTGAGACACAGCGCGTAAAGGCCAAGCCAAACAAACCCCATACACTCAGGGATGCGCACCTGCACGTCATGCTTTGGATAAGCAAAGAGGAACCAATAGTTGAGACTCATGGGGCACACCGAACATAATAGTATTAATCCCAATCCAAGATGCCTGCTAAAGGCAGAGCTTGAATCATCCACAAGCATCGTCGCTGAAGCATTGTCAATGCAGCTTTACAACAGCTATTAACACACAAAAGCCCTGGCACGCTCCCCTTCCATTTTCTTCATCGGCACTTTATGCCCATCATACCCACACTGAGCGGCCCTTTTCCTAAAAAATAAATCAAAAAACATAAATCAAAGGCCAAGTTTCAAACATAACCAAGATCCAAAACTTCCCCACTATTTGTTCGTTTGAACGCCGGGAAAACGCCATGTTTCTATCCACAACAATGTGCATAATGCAGCACAGAAATAAACAGTCGCTATGCAGTGTGATATTCAATTCGCCCATATACCATTTTTTGTATATCCCATAAAAGGAGTGACTCTATGTCGATCAGATGTTCGTCATAACGTAATTTCATAAAAGGAGTGTGTGTAGTTTGTGGGTATCTTCGTCTAAAGGATTGTCGATTAAGCTGGAGGGTATCATTTCGAAAGGAGCGTCGCGTATTAGATAATACATTAATAGTTAGTTGGTAATTATTCGTGTCGTAAAAGGATTGTTTCAGTCGAGATCAACTCGAGAATTCTAAAGGAGTGTCGTTCGGGCGTTGGGCTCAGGCAGACTGTGTGCTGGCGAGAGCGAAAAAGAAGGTGCAAAAACAAGGCCCATTCAGTCGTTGTTGTTTCATGGTAGTAGCGAGCGTGTTAAGGAATGTTGTACATTTGCGTCTGCGTCGAAATCAAGAGAAGAGGAAGAGGAGGAAGCAGATCCCAGCTGCAAAAAGGTCGATCACGGAGAGGAGGAGGAGAGAGGAGGAGGATGAGGAGGATGCCCATCATCACATCGCCCGCTGTTTGCCCTTGCCATCAAATCCCGAAGAGCCGGGAGTCAAAGGCACGCGCGACAGCGGAGACGGAGGGTGCGGCGCGGAAGAGACCGAAACGGTTTGACGGTGTCGGTGATGCGGCGTGCTGGACAGCGGAACCGGAGACTCAGGAAGAGGAAGCATGCCGAGCGTGTCCTGGTACTGGTACGGAGAGGGAGACGGAGCTGGCGGAAGAGGCGGCGCAATAGACGAACCATCCGGAGGCGGGTACGCTGATTGAGTTCTGGAATTCCTGAGTGGCAACGGTCAATCCGATTGTGCTTCCTCGAGCCGGGGTTGGAGAGTCGAGTGTGTGGGAGCCTATCTAGAGGACACTAGATCCACACGGACTGCTGGGGAGTAACGAACCCGACGGGGTAGCTGCTGCTGCCGGCGCATTGCGCATCCTCGAATGTGGGCGATTGGCCGGGATGGAAGCCTCGCATTTCATACCCACCGTACTCTTCCGAATCGCTGTATGCAAGGGACGCCTCAAAGGTTGACGATGCCGGGCTGTAGGCAACTCCAAAGGACGGAGACGGCACGTTCAGGTACTGGTGGCTCAGATACGGAGACGAGATGACCAGCGGGCTGAGAGACTCATGGGGGCCGGGCGCGGTAGGGCTGTTGAGCATTGGCATGCTCTCAGCGCTATAGCTAAAGGCAGGGTTCCCATATGGCATGTAGGACTCCGTTGCAGGGACCATTGGCACCTCCTCGCGCAGATGGAAATTGGGCGGATGGAACGTAGGGAACGAAGGGGTCCTCTGCGGGCTCATCCAGCCCATGCGGGACCGGAACTCACTGACAGTGTCAATGGGAAACTCCATGAGCGTGAGCGGCGTCTGGTACGAGTTCTTGACGCCAGTGCTCGCGACATTGATGGACATTAGCCGCCGGGCTATCTCCTCAATGGGGGTCATGGACAGGCTACCAAAATAGGCCGCGCCAATCTCGGGGAAGAGCCGCTCCATCAGCAGGGCCGCCGTGTACAAGTGGGCAATGGCAACCAGGGAGTTGGGGGAGCACTGGTAGGTCTGAATGTAGCCAACAGGTACCCAGAAAAGCCAAGTCCGCAGGGGCTGGAGGCGCTCAAACTGTTGGGCGATGGGAAGAGTGGAGCTGATCTTGCGAGACCCCTTGAGGAAGCCGATCAAGTGCTGCATCTGAGTTGTGTCTTCCTTGAAGTGCTTCAGATGAGCCTCAACCTTGATGACCTGCTCCAGCGTTCGCTGATAGGCCTCGATGTCATCCTTCTGGGGCTGATGAACCCGGCGTTCAGGGTCCGGAGAAGCCGGAGCCGTTGGGAACGTGCTGCTCTCAGCGATAAAGTCTGTGAACTCAGACTCGTGCTTCCATGCGTCCATTGCATCAATCACCTGATTAAAAAAAAGTCAGCCACATACGTGGGAAAAAAGGGAGGGGGGGGGATCCAAGGCAAGCCGATGGAGTGCTTGGCTCTTCGTCACCAGCCAACGTACCGTCGAAGTACCCTGCATGAGCTGGGTCCAGCTGCGCCTGTTGGGAAATGCAGTTAGCCATTGACTGTTCATGTGAGGTGGCAACGATCGCAAGGGATGAGTACTTACCAATCGGTGGCCTGCCACGATAGCACCAGGGATGCCGCCAGGATGGCGTCGGACGTAGCGCGAGAGAAGGAGCCAATGGCAGTATGCAAACCGCTCAAGGCCTTGCCCCTATGCTCAAACGCCATGCTACCGACCAGAGGGCAGTCGGTCAAAAAGGCGATGTGCATGGCGGAGAATGCCAGCAGCGCATGCATCACATAGGGAGTAGTCGCGCCGATCTTGAGCAGACTGGAAACACCAGAGTTAGCGTTGTGTTGGACAATGTGCTACGACTGGCAGCGGAAGCTTGCCGCCAGAGCAGTGCCATCCAAGGAGAAGGATGGAATAGCCGCTTCCATTGGAAACTTACGTCGGGATATGACGGGTCCACAAGGTGAAGTTGTTGGCTTCATACGCCGCCAGCTGATAGTACAGAGAGGCAACGTGGTAGATCAACCGAAGGTCCTCAAGGGAGAACATGTGCGGCATGGGAGCTGGGAAGATGCGGAGCGTTGGGAAGGGGAACATGCCAGTCCTCTGCCATTCGCCAATAGCAGCCTCGATCTGGGGTGTCCACATGAGATCGGGCTTGTCCGGCGTGGTTGAGCGACCAGCATCAGGAACCTGCACATCGTTGTACGGGCAACGGATCTTGTGCTTGGTGCAGTTGCGGCTGAGGATTGTGTTAGCAAAGGAGAGGTTCTGGACGGAGATGAGCACGGGACCGACAACTCACCATTGAGGGAAGCTCTCATCGCAGCGGATGTGACGACGCTTGCTAGAATCGTTGTTAGACCAGTGCTTGCGAGTGATCAGAGTTGCCATTCAGCAACCATGGATATTGCTACGTACCACGTATCACAGCCTTTGCGAGACTTGGTGTGACTATCGTGAGAAGGTTAGCTCATGCCTCGATGCAATGGAGTGTGCGTGAGTGTGGAATTATTGGAGGAAAATGGTGTGAGTGTGTGTAAGCGTGAGTGACTTAAAGGAAACAAACCTGCGACGAGGAGGACCACCGCCAGGGCCAGCCATTGTTGATAGTTGAAAAGTGTTGAGATTTGTGGTAGACGAGCCACTAGAAGATGTTAGTAACAGGATTATCTGCAAGATTTCATGGACGACACATACATGAAACAAAACACAGCTGGAAATGGCTGTGCTTGAACAACGAGTGAGTTGTCGTGCTTATTAATATGGATGTCCCGGATAAATGCTCTTCTTATCAAGTATTGACTTGGATACGGCTGGTTTGAACAAGCCTATTGTTCTGTTTCCCTTTGTCCTAAAATGGGTTGATATATATATACCGTTGTAGATAGATATATATTCCTCTTCTCTTGAAAAAACGTAGCGATCGAATATGGCGTATTGAATTACCTCTCCCTAACCCTCGAATTAAATAGCAAGTAGTTTTGGTGTAAAACGTTCTTTTTTTTATTTGGTTTTGTAAGTTTTCTTTTTGGTAGCGATTGTGGGAAGCGATTGTGGTGGTGTGATGATGAAGTTCTTTTAGATAGACATTGACAGCGACTTCGAGTTCGGTCTGGTGTAGACTTGGCGAAGCTGCTGCTGGTCCTTTCGAATCCTTTGCGCGATTCGAAGCCTCTTGGTTATGGCCTAGCGTAGCTAAGTCGGTGGATTCCGTGCAAAGCGTGGCTGTCGTTGAATCGTGCGGTCCTATGACTTCGGGATAAAGATGTCTGGCGGAGTCGGCGGATGGAGAGGTTGCGACGGAAGTGGCGGGTAAAGGAGGATCAAAAAGAAAACGAGCACCGGTAAAGCGAATGACAGGAGTCAACGAGGACTTCCTAGAGAGAAAAGTTTGGGGGAGCGAATGTGGGAGAGCGAGCGTTGAGTTGAGATGATTTGGAGTGTGGACCAGGGGAGAAGGAGAGGGCAGGCAGTTGGGGGACTGGGATTGTTAAATACTGGCTGCTGCGGTTGACACCAGCGCCGAGCAGAGGTAGCAGAGGTAGCAGAGACCAGAGGGAGCATAAGCCCCTACAGCCACCGCCAGCCATGCAGTTTACAGCGCGTCGAGGTACCTGTCGGTCACCCAAGGTAGTCTGACCCTGTCCTCGCCGAACCTTTGGTGCTAGATCCTTCCAGTCTGGGTGCTAACGAAGCCCTGCGCTGGTCCGCCGAGGGGGGCAGCTAGGGGTCTGGCCTAGCCTCGACAGGAGCACGGAGAGCAGGTACCACTGCTGCTACGGAGTACCTGGGGCTACTTTGCAAAGGGCCCCTCCAGCGGCCATGTCCCGCGACTGGGGGGTGCAAGGGGGTGCCACGCGCTGTGCGACTCGGCCCTCAGGTCAGTTAGCAGGCCAGTGGGGGCGCTGTTGTCAGTTAGTCTTGGCCGACAGCCCTCGATGCTCTTGGGCTTCTCACGGCACAGTATGTGTCTGGTGTCTCACGTCCCAGAACCTCGACACTATCAATGGGAAAAGAATGCGATCAACAACACCGCCGTCTTCCTCGGAGAAACCAGACATCGCCAGCCTTATTCTCTCCACTTGATACAACTACTCCATAAGACTCCATACAATATCGTGCCTCTGCCAAACGTCGTCCGCCACCGCAAAGCGCCGAAACCAGACCGAGCCCTGCGGTGCGTCTGTCCAAGCCAAACGGGCAAATAACGCCAAAGCGACCATGACGAGACGAGACGACACCAGACGAGCGGCAGAGGGCTGGGCATCGCACACAGCACAGCGCAGCACAGCACAGAAGCTGGTGGAGAGAGGGGGCGGGTGATGGATGATGGATGATGATGCCCAGCAGAGCATAGCTCAGCATCTCGGCGCTAGGGGTGTGACGGCCTTGGGGCTTGGCCGCTCAGACACACAGCTTCCAAGAGGCATGACGCACATGGCACGATGCCCGCGCACCAGAAAGAAGTAAAAATAACAACTGGGGCGAGCCGTCGACTTGGATGCGACCAGGGTCGAGTGCTTTTGCGTGTGGGGGACGGCACCGAGCCAGGCCAGACAAGCTCGAGCTACCGAGTGCTACCGCAGTAGTTCTGCTGCCAGTCAAGCCAGTGCCAGTGCTAGCAACTCGCAGCCGGAACTGAGGCCCTGCTGCCCGTCGTCGCCTTTTCTTACCCTTGCCTCCCTCATGGCTTAGCTTTTCTGGCCAGAACGCCATGCCCATGTCTAGTCAGGGTGAAACATCTGCGCGGTTCGGCCATCAGGCCAGCGTCAGATGCTTGGTTGGCCCGCCGTCGTGCCAGCACATCGTGGAATTATCGCCGCGGGGCTGCGGAAATATCTTGTTCAACCGCTTGGCAAGCTGCTCGCCCAGGCCCTGAAGATTTTTTCTACGCCCAGTCTCGTCGACGACAAGTTGCGAAGCGGCCAAGCGCCATTCCAATAGTGCTCGACTACCAAATGCCACAGCGGGAGACGAGTCAAACACACGCTCAGCTCCGCCAGTATCGTACCGAGTGACTGTCCATAAGGTTGGGTAGTACATGCAAGGACAGAGTCAAACGTCGAGCAGTTGATTTAAGTTTCACGATATTCGCCTCCCCTCGATTTCGGCGAATGAGCATGGCATTGAGCTGAAAAAGCATCGTAGGCACCATCAACAACAGCCAGAGTTCATCTACCACTGACTACCAGACATGGCGCCATTATCTGCGTGCTAGTACTTGTAGTGCTTAGCCGAAAAGTTTTCGGGAGCTTAAGTCGGCGGCTTCCAAGATGAGATGCACCCACCACAGGCTAGACACCGTCCACCAATGGGCGCCACGTACTGTGCTGTGGGTTTGTCGTCACAGTTGAGGTAACTTGTCCCGAGCCCTGCTCCTTCCTGCACCTGAACCCGCACATGCACCTGCACTGGCACCTGCACCTGCAGCCTCTAGCACCTGCGCTTTGGCCCTTGCAAGTGCGACGAGTGCAGAAGAACATGGAGCCGGTAATGCTGTGCCTGTTTGTACAGGGACAAGTTCGCGGCATGAAGACGGTGTACATGTGCATGCAAGAGCGACGGCAAAGTGTCGTGCAAGCGATGCTCATGTACAAGTGCAGACGGTACCTGTACTAGGCTTGGCATCGTCAACTATAGGTAGGTACCCTCAAAAGCACTTTGGCAGGCACACACAGCGACGTCACGTAGCCTAGGATAGCCATTTCGGGAAAGAGCTCATCCACACTGTGCAGCCGGTGCTGTTGCCAAGAGCCCGCATAAGGTCCCAACATGCCAACTTGGGAGCATCACCACCCAAACAAATCAATATCACTCGCCTCAATGCATTTGGGCCTCAACCGCAGATTGCTATTGCAGCTCGAGGCGACATGTGCCTCGGCCTGGATAATTCACTCTACCACCACCGACCACCTCAATATTGCGCACACCGGCAGATGCAGCAGAAAAGGGCATGTTGATGCGATTAGCGCTCGACGTATCCACCAAAAAGACTGGAGCCATCCAGAAAAGTCAAGTTTCCATTATTTATCACCACAGCCTGGGCTTCCACGCTCGGCCCCGTTTGCTCAGGCATGGCCGCCACGGAGGCTTCGGCAGCCCATGCCTGGCAACCGTTGATTGACAAGAATCGGGCGACGGAGTAACCGGCTCCATTCCTCTGCGTTATGCCGTCAAATTGATGCATGCGCAGCTCCCTGCCGTCCAAGTTAAGTCCGAGTTGGGCAATACGGTCCAAGGCTCCAAATTTGTCCCAGGTTGGTCCCAAGTAGACAAGACCGCACAGCTATTGTTTGGCCAGGAGACCCCGGGGGGGCGGGCCTGGGATTGTGCTGGTACCGCGTATGAGGACTGGCCTTACTCTCAGTGGCATGCTCGCATCAACTTCGTGCTGGCGGCCACAGCCGTTGCTTGAACGCCGGCGCGCCACGCTCGGCCGTACCTAAACGGCCGGCGTCTGTCTGGCTTGGAGGCGTTGAGGCGAAGCTCGCTCAGCTGCTTCATGGCACATTTGATCTCCAAGCATCTCTGGTCAGTGCGCGCGCCTTGCCGGGTTAACGTTGCCAAAGAGTCCTCGTGCTACGGAGTATTCTCAACTGCCAGGCGCCACTTGTATCCGTACCGTTCAGCGACGGTGATTATCCTGCGGCCTCGCCTATCTACCTAATCAAACGGGTACCCTGAACCGGAAAAACTCTCACGCCTGGATCTCTACAACAATTAACTGCCTGTACGAGCACTAGCCAGTACGAGTAAGCAGAAATGGAACAGAACCTTGCATCGACATGTGTCCTTTAGCTGACGCTGCTGATCCCCGAATCCTCGTCTTCGAGAAGCCAGTCAGAAGTTAGCGGCTGCTTGCTACATACTGTTCTGGAATTTGTACAGGCACATACAAGAATGGAGCAGTGCTACTCCGTACATCCCCTCCAATATGCGAGCAAGGGCTTCTTCCTTGCAGATCCTGCCGCGGATATCGGCAGCTGCGCCATTTGACACATGTACAGGTACAACTATCGGCCGAGCGATTCTATGGAGCGGCCGCACGGAGCTCAAGTACTCCGTACAACTACCCTCCGTCCTCGAGTCCGTCCTGTCAAAAGGCGATCCCAGCTCAGCGCCCCGTGCCCACGGCATTGAATGCTTGTGCCTGTACGGTATTCATGCCGGCGCAACATAAATAGCCAAACAAGCAGACAAACAAAAGCGGAAGGCATCCGCGCTGGCGGAGTGCATCTCATCGGCAGGCTGACCCCTAGGGATTGAATGACAAAAACAGCTACATCGAGTCATTCAGCCAGTCCCCCAGTTTGCCATCCTGAATAGGTTACTCACCCGTACGAGCGCCGTTGTGGTTGGCTGGCCTTGCTGGCATAATTGCATGACATCTCAGCCACGCTCCTCACCAGCCCCGCCGTGATCGAGCGCGTTCCTGATCTGCAGGAAATGAGCAGCAGCCTTGGTCGCTGTCTAATCGTCTCACTATTCAGAGATACGAGGCCGCACCCTTCCTTCAGCAGTTAGAATGCCTTCTTAGCTCGGCATCGCGCTTGGTCGCGCAGGACTTGTTGCGGCAGACCAAAAAAAAAAAAAAATAACAACAGCCCTGGGCCCTGAAAACACGCTCCGTGTTGAGGGCCTTGCAAGGCTCGGCTCTTCATCCGCGGCCCCTGCTGGGCAAAAGACAGGCACATCTAGGGTTTGAAAAAGACGTTCACGACGGAGGCAGCCAACGACCAATCCTTGGAATTGGCTTCAACCAATCTCTCTCATTTTCCAAATGGGATCCTCAAGGGAAGCCGGCACCAGGGCACAAGCCTAACCATCGGCACAGACGCACCGGCCACAGGTCTGCTGCTTGTACTCCATTTTATCAGTCTCGATTTAGACACCGATGACCTACAATCAGAACAGCAAGGTTTCCGGGCCAACATCTCATAACCCACGAGAGCGGTTAATGGTGCATTTCTCAGCCTCTTGTGGCGGATACTCCCGGCAGATGGCTCTCCTGGTAAAGGGGCACGTGGCATCCGATGCATCATTCCATCGGGCACTGCGGACTGCTCTCTCCCTCTATGACGTTTGCTGCTAACTACCTTGCAATATTCAACAAGCCAAAAGCGGTATCATCTCTCTACTGTACAACTTCACTGGTGAATGCAACCGCAGCGTACATACGAGTACACGGCGAGATGCTCCTTGACCCGCGGCATAAGACGGCCATAAGCGCATGTCGCTGCGCCCTGTTCTGGGCAGCAGTGATGAGCTCAATGCCGTGTATGGTAGTAATACGGACTGCTATTATTATCACTGCTGCTCTTATTACTACTTCGTACTTTGGAAATTCATTGGACAGCGTCCAAGTCATACGACCATGTGCTCGAAACGACAGCATATCCGGGCTTCATGCTGTCAAAGCCACGCCGAGCTGAAAAGAAGAAGAGAAAAAAAAACTACGTTTCATGGGCCCACCTGAGTCCCCGAACAGAGTCCAGGGGATATCCAGGATTACTTTCAAAACGTTCAGGAACAGGTATAGATCTAATTTATAGCGAGATTATCGTGGACGCGAAGGAGATTCCAAAACCTCGTGTCCCAAAATGGGCCTCTGGGGCTGCATTAACCCGTTCTTTACGCTAGGAAGACGGCCGCCCCTATTTAGGCCGACCATTTCGGTGTATTCAGCCAGTCTCACCAGCCACAGCTTAGCCAGAGTGAAAGCTGTGCCGCAATGGCTCACAAGGATGGAGGGAAGATGCTCGTGTCCTTCGAAAAATGTTGCCCTATTGGATGTGTCCATTATTAGGGACACCAGCATGCGCAATCTCCTAATGCTGCTGCGGTAACCGATGCAGGAGATTTCTGACCATCTTTCCAGGCGTTGTTTTACTTGTATTATTGGACATCACGATACAATGACCAATGCGTCCATCAAACAGCTCCGCTAGTGAGACGCAATGGCCAGTCTCGTGCCGTTCAATGCTTTTTTTAGGAACAAGGCCTTCACTGTGACATGTTTCGCCGTGATTGGCTTTACAACGCGAGTCATCGTTAATGTTATCAACATGACCTACCCATATTCGCATTTCCACAAGGTAGTCTTTTGTGTGGGAAATGATCAGATTCGCACAGCACTAACAGAGCTCTCCATATGTTCATTGCTTACCTAGCGGCGACAAATGGATAACCACAAATATCTTATTCAACATTGGGGGTCAGACGGCAATACTGCGAGTCAGACAGCAACCAGGCTGTGCAAGTCAAGTAGGTACTTTTGACTGCAACTTTACTGAGAAGGCCGCCAAGACCAGTTTTGAAGCGCCACAGGATGCAATTCCGGACTGCCGTGTTGCATAACATTGCCCGAAGAAGACAGGCGACGATAGGAGTGAAATTTGACAGTGAGCAGCCATTCTTGTTACAACTTACACAGCCCTAACACACTATGCATGAAACGCCACAGAGCCCCTTTGCACATTCCCCGGAGATGTTCATGCCGCTGTCAGTTTGAGGGGCTACGGAGTATTACTCGAGGTCATTTATGCGGATGCCAGTTGCTATTAAGTTGAACTACCGGAGATCAACCAGCAATGGCGCGCGGGAGATGGGAGAAAAAAAAAAGAGGACCACTGGGGCTAGAATGCGCCGAGGCTCCCCAAAAAACATCAAGGCTTGTGACATACTGAAATGACGTCGATTTGTGATGCTCTAATAAGCGTTTGCGACTTTTCCCCTTTCCCTCAACTGGAAGCACGAACTGTAACGCTGCTAAGAGGAATAATTAAGCACCCTGATAAAACTCCGTTATGTGTGGGATAACGGCAGTGCAGTGAGCAGGCGGAGTAATACTAGGGTACGGGTTCTGTACCCCGAGACTGGTGAAGGGTCGTGGCAAGGGCTAATTGAGGCTAGCAAAAAGCTCCTCAAACTTACTCCCGCCAAGGTCAGCGGGCCGAAAGAAGAAAAAGAAGAAGAAGAATGAGGCCAAAGCCACAGCCGGTCCAACGAGAAAAGGGCAAAGGAAATTTGGGGAAGAACAAATGGAGGGCGAAGTAGTTTGAAGTCAAACGAAAAGAGGAGCACTGCAACGTTTCATGGGCTCGCCACCACAAAGCGACTCGCACATTGTGTGTCTCGGCAATCCTTCACATTACAGCGACACGTGTGCGCTAATAGGCAAAGCGATATCCAATGAAGGGACACCTCCTGGCTTGTTGCTAAAGATATCTCGCTGCATCCTATGCCGAAGCTCGCAAAATCGGTGTGACAGAGTGGCATGGCGACCGACGAAAGAATAGCAAAGTCCTCCAGCCTGAGTTTGCAGCTTTGGGCAGCCGATATCCGGACGTGGGCAGGTGGGCTTGTGTGTTGTTCGAATATGGACATAGTCTCGCCGGTAACTACTAAGTATGGAGACTTGGCTGGGTATCATACCAGACTTTCCTCTCCCAAGTCAAGTTGATGGGGCTCACATTTTCGCCCTCGGCCTAGCACAATGACGATTTACCCGACTAAGGCTGGGACAAGATTCTAGATCTCCGAAACAAGACTCAGGGTGCTACTATAACCACAAGTGCTTATTAAACGCAATATGCACACGTGCTCTGGTTGTCCTACGTTTCCCCTCCCCGCAGAGGGCAGATTGTTTACTTGGACGGAGGAGGTGGGCGTTGAGATTTGAGATTGTGTTGCCGTCTGCCAGCACCTGTACCGCGACAAGGGTGCAATTACGTACCTGTGCGATAGCCGGAAGGATGGGACTGTGGCTGCAGCTAGATCCGCCTCCCCCAATCATTTGGCTTGGGCGATGCGGTCATTGTCTGACGACTGGGCGGGAGAGTGCATTTGGAGGATCCTATCAGAAGATGCTTCAGCTCGCTTGGCAAAGGTCCACGACATGGAGCGGTGAGAATGGGAAGCTCACGCAACGCCACAAAGACGACCAAGTTGTTACTGGTACACGCACAGCCTTTTCGATAGTTTGGTTTCCTGAGATGGCCATGTACAGCTCTTGTCGATGCTGGTTGGCTTATGCTACCCTGCAGGGTTGAAGAAGTAGGTCGATGCAATGCATGATGGCCTACATGCGCATGCACAGTGATCTGTGTGATGTCAAGCCAAGGCCGGGGATATCAGTGCGTCAGCCATGTGTCTTCTGCTCAAGGGCCGTGTAGCGAAAGATTGCAAGAATTTGCGAGTCCCAAGGCCCTGGCCCGATGCACTGAGCAAAAAAAATCAAATTACAATTGTTCCATATGGCGCTTGTTTGGATGTGCTTGGTGCATACTTGTACTGAGTCGGACGCACAGGGGGATGACGGATATCCATGCATCCTCTTAGCGAGGAACCATCTACCGCACGAGTGCACTTTGGAGTGGGGGAAAGCCAATGAGCAGTATAGAACAGAAGCAAATTAACAGGTGATCACTCGCAGACGGTCCGATATCTCTGGTTCTGGTTCTGGTTCTAGCACGGCGTCGTGTGGCCTGGGCACTGCAGCAAACTCCTTACTGTTGGAGGCACTGTGTCTGGCCACAGCCTCATGTTGCCTCTAAGCGACTCGGTACTAACGCAGAGATGGATTTTGGGTTTAGCATCCTGTACATGAAAGGTACAGAGCGCCGAACATTCCGCCCGCGTGTGCCTGTTATGTCACTACGATGTGTTCCTGATGGGATCGTCCATGATCGGCCGAGAGATTCGGCCAACAAATCGACCGAAATGGGCAATCCAGGCTGTTCATTGCCCTTTGCGGGGAGATATCCTGCCCCGCCTTTGGCAATATTTCAGTTCGTCGCCAGTGCCATGAGCTTCATGGCCGTGTGTTATTCACATATACTGTTTGCCATCAAACTCGGGAGTATGAAGACTCAAATTGCAAAGCGGGGAGGGAGAAGCATCGGCTAGCAAACCCCAAATTATGACGAAACAGCTTCGGAATGCTGGATGAGCTGATTTGCCAAAAGCAAAATGGGCCAACTTGTCTGCGCACTTCCAGCCTGCACGTCTTTTGCCGCTGCGGCGTGTCTGCTCCGCAACTGGCTGAGAGAGCTTCGACAAAACCTTCGGTGGTGCGCCTAAATATAGAAATAACCCTAACGCGGTGCCCAATGTAACAAAGGTGTGGCACTAATGGGCGGGGGCTGCATGGTACAGTGCTTTTTTTTCCTCTTCTTCTCTGCCTCCCATTGCTCAAGCCGATTTGCTGATGCTGATGTGGAGGGAGGATGTGGTGGTGAAGTTAGTTGAGAGAGACGTGAGATATGGCCCAAGCCATGAGATGGAAGATGCCCGTATCTGACCTCGCACAGGACAGCAGAACTGGAGACCCAAGGCACTGGGATTCAACAGTGAGTGCGGAGCAGAGCAACCGGTCCCCGTACATGGGGTGGGTGCTGTTGGGTGACAATATGAAGACGTCGTGGTGGGCGCGTGTGAATGGCAAGATTAAGGGAGCGTTTTCTGCTCATCCGGGGCTCCAACTAACGCATTGGTTACCCGGAGTCTGTGGTATCGCTTATGCACCCCGGTTGACTATCTGGGCTAGAGTCCTTGGGCGTCTTCTCGTTCCAGACAACGCTAGTATCATCACCATCATCATCATGGGTGTCCCCGGGCTTGTTATCAGCATTGCCCCGTCTTGCCTCTATTGCCAGATGAAACCCTTGTACGGAGTCAGGGCAAGCAAGCACAAGACCAAGTTTGGGTCGACAAATGGGTTTGCCGCAGCGGGTATTGCGGCCGGCCATGTTTCAGACGTGGCGTGCCTGGCTGGAACCTGCTTGTTGGCCTTGGCAAGACGGTCAGGTTACCATTTGGTGATTCTCCCTCTTCTCGATACTGCTAGCTATTGTTGGCTTCCCTAATCGGCGTATGGATGAACAGATGGTTAGCGATCTCCTCATGCTAAGAAGGCTATCTCACTAGCTAGAGTCGAGCTAGTCATTTGATCTGCCCAATCGAGCATGGCAGCAATACGTCAGCAGCAGCATGCCAGTCAGTCCAAACCGATCTCACAGAGCGCACTGCTGCTAAACAGGGGTCGCTGTCAGACAGGATTCTAGCCGCATGTACTCCGTACGGAGTATTACGGAGCAGGCCCTTTGACTCAAGACACACAATACTGCAACTATTCGACGTCTTTGGAGTTGAAAAGAGGCCAAGATGAGTCTCAGTCGAGATAGCAAGGATGGAAAGTTTGCGTGGAGCACGCCCACGGCATCTTGGCAGCTGCAGAGTGCCGGGGCGCGAAGCCCGAAGCTCCATATGAGCCTTTCAACTCATTGCACGTGTACCAGCACGAAATGAGGTTGACTGTCTAGTTTTTTCCATCCCTTGATGCTAACACTAGGTACCTACTTATTGATAGCTAATGCATGATAGGCGAAGAATGTTGTGCGGAAAGACTTGCCCACAAAATCTGCCCGCCAAGAGTGAATGTACTGTACATGCAATCTGGAACCTCTTCCCCCCACGATGAATGGGCCGAGGTGTGTCTCTTTTTTATCTTATTTTTCCCACTGGCTAATCACCTGCAGAATCTATCGGCCGGGTGCCCTGGTTCGTAGTGTGATGGGGGCCTTTTTCTGTTCTAATTTCACATCCCTTCTCTGCGGTAGTCACCCGCGACCTGATGCTCTTTGCGTTCCGTGCTACTCCTGGTATGCACGCTGGCTGATCTGACCCTACTCGCAGGACATGGCGTAACTGCCTAATCAGGCAATGGATTTCCCTTGTGCTCTGAAACATACTTGCAAAGAATCGCTGACAGGCGAGCTCGAGTTGGTTGTGCTGTTTCAATCTTGCCAAACAAGCTTTAAGGTTGAGCGTTTAACCGCACACAAACCGGAGCCCATGATAATACTGGCATGCCAAGCAGGAGACGTGACTACCCCCTTTCGCCGTGGCGGGGACAAGCTGCGCCAGTAAGTCTCCCGTCGGGATTATTACTGGTACGGGCATGGGTATGATTTGCTTATGAAGGTCCTGTACTGTATGAGTGAGAATCACGACCTCAACTGGGCTGTGTTTCTGGCCAAACCCAGCCGCCCTCTCCCTCGCTCGCCCTGACGAGGTTGAAGATGCCAATGAGATGGCGGCGTCACCTGTTTCTTTCAGCTTGCATCATGCACATGTGGCTGCCGCTTCCAAGAGCTAAGAATAGCATCGAGCCATCTAGCTTGTAGCCACGCCGTATTTCTACGTGCAGCGAATGGCCGTCTGCGATGCGATAGCGCGTGAGCCGACAGTGCAACCCTCTTTTTGGCCCGTCCTGCATCTACCCATCTCACCACATTATGCATCTGGGAGGGCCCTATTACAAGGTCAACGTACATGACCTGTACATGTCTCTATCGAGCATGCGGCAGCGAACCAAACGCGCGGACACATGATGGGATCATGTACCCGGACACTACGAGGACGCTCGCCGCTTGCCATCGGCAGTCTTCCGAAAGGCGTAGAGCATGGCCACTCCGGATTACATGAGGAAGCGCATACTCGTACTTGTCGACTTTGATTCGATACGCCCCCTAGTCGTATAAGTCTGTGTGAGTATTTCTGGCTTACTACAGTACATAGTATGTCCAGGTGGTAGTCTAAGTAGAGCGCCTGAACGGATTGGCTTTCGCTTTCGTTTAAACAAACAACCTCCAAAATTTAAGGCGCTAAGATACGAAAACAGGCAACAGTCTAGTCATCTGCCGGATCTCGAACCACGTCTGACTCGGTACTTGGAATGATCTCATTGTCATGATATAGTGCCAAGGGGTAAAAACAGGTACTCGGTTTTTTTTTTTTTTTTTTTCGCTTTCGCCTAGTCGCGCCCACCGGAGATCCTTTTTCTCCATGGGTGATTATCAACGAGCGAGCAGCGAGCGGAATTTGCGGTTCGCTCGGAAGTCAGATATCGTGATAGGGATAGGCTTTTTGCGGGAGGCAGTCTTCGTTGTAAGCGCAGCCCCCGTCAGCTGCAGCGCGATTCAAGAACGGGCCATTTAGTTATTTGTATTAAAATTTTTAACCCTTTTCTTTCTTTTCAGTTCTTTCCGCCTCTTGGACTATTTTTGCTTTGTTCACCGGTGTCTTGTCTTGGCAACTCGATTTTTTCTCCCTTGCATGATGTGATGCACTTTTGTGAGACATTGTAGGGGGAGATGGGGGTAACAAGATTTGGAATGCGGGCTTACAGGTACGGGGGCCCGGACAAGGTTTTTTTTTTCTTCCCCCTTCCCGTGTGATAGACCAGGGGAAGGGATGGAAGAGAAAAGTTTAGGAAGACAGAGCAGAAGAAGAATAAAATAATGTGGGTGATGGTTTTTTTTCGACAACTCAAAATCTCTAAAGCGGATTAGGTAGTTGAATCAGGGTGAGATCGATTGTCGTCCTTAGTCAGATTTGGACGGGGTTTATGTATTTTTTGGGCTGACGGGTTTGATGGAGGGGTTTTCTCCAGGAGAAGATTGTGCGGATAGGAAATTTAGTGTTGTGGGTGTATTGTGTTGCTTGAGTTGTTGATAGTCGGATATGCTCCTAGCTATATGGTTGTTACTAGTATTAGTATTAGTTGGTGTTTTGCATTTACAGGTTTTCGAGACGTCGAATTTAATTGCTCTGAATGGTAACTAAGAATAACACTAAGGAATATTAATGGGACTGCTTGAAAAATAACTTTATTTATAGCAGTCATCTGCATCGTGTTAGGCGTATTGTTGTCGGGATATATATTCGATTAGTTGACACTTATTAAGACTGGTATAACGGCAAGTTGTTGTCGGCCGCGGGGAAGAGTTGCATCAAGTCCGGCCCTTGTGGAAGACTAATCATGTAACCAGGCGGTATTAGTGATCAAGACTGGTTTTGTTTTTAAGAGTTGAATTGCTTTGTGGAGTGTTATTGATCGTGGAATGGTGGAATATGAAAGGTCGTGTATGAGTTGGTTTGACTTGGTTGCAGGATAACTTGGGGAAAAGCGTAGGAAAGAGGTGCTGTATTTAGAGTATATGTAGGTTAGGAGGGATAAAGTTGGATGAGGAGGTTGGGGAATGTGGTTTGATGGGTTTCTTGGAGTGTGTTTTTTGTTTTGTCTTTTGGGGAGGGATGTGGAGGTGAGTTTGTGATGGTAGATGATGGAGAGAGTCGTATATTCTAAGGTACAGTACTTTCTGGCGGACGATGATATTCAACGATTTATTAAGATATATTTTTGTTATAACGTGGAGAGATGGATCTAAGACTCTATTTTTTCATGTAAACGGGTAAAATAGGTTTACAAGTCTACGATAAGATCGCGAAATGGATGTCTTTCGCCGCGAAACAGAACTGCTGTTGTTCTTGTGAGCGAAATCTGACTTTGTGATGAGAATTACGATGTTCATCCTGGATAAAAGCATAATAGCAAAAGAGAGGAGAGCGATTACAAACCTATCTCGCATGTTATATATATAGAACGCGTTGATGGATTAATTGACAACGGGAACAGGACTGGCGGGTTGTATAGCCAACTGCACTGAGAGTGTTAGTAAAAGTAAATGAAGGATGTGATCGGTATACAGCGAGAAACTATAGGAATACCGTCGTTACTTTATAAATGATGGCGTCGATGGGTAGATATATTTCCAATGTCAGATAGATGTAAGGGTAGTCGATGGAAGCAGCGGCAGTAGTGCAAGGTAGTGAGTGATACTGGATGGAGATGGAGATGGAGAAATACTGGATCAAGGTAGCGATAATAGATGAAGACGACTGGAGTTGATAAAGGTAGACATGGCAGAAGAAGATAAATGTACTATATAGGTAACTTACACCGTAACCACCCAGATATAAAACATCGTGTTTGTTTTGATTCTAAACTACTAACTACTATGGCACCGTGCAACGCAAAAGCTAACGCATACACGGCGTCTCTCTCACCACTCTGTATGCAGACATGGCCGAAAGAGTTTCAAAAAAAAAAAAGAGTAAAAAAAAAAAAAAATATCTATCTATAAAGGTTATGGGTTTTGCAGCCCCAATCCATGGCACCCCTCTCCCAAAAATAAAATAAAAAAGACATCATGACACCTGTTTCCCGTGTTTCCTCCGCCATGCAGGTTTCGAAAAGCTTTTTTCGTTTCTTTTTCTCTTTTCCCTTTTCCCATCGTCACTTCGTTCCAAGGTATCTCTCGTCTGCCTGCGGGCACGCTTCCTCTCCTCCTAAATGTCCCGTGAGCGAGTCAAATCCAATCATACGTACCCTTTTCCATGGAGTTGTCGGGCAGCAAAGTATCGCTATGAAGTTTTTTTTTTCTTAAACAGTCCCATTACATTCCTCCCACTAAGCCTCAGGGTTACAAATGGCCTCTCCATATCAGACTTGTCAGAGATACAGCGTCTCAAGGCCGTCCCGACGTTCCTGCGTCCAGCGCTAACTTTCGTTTTTTTCTTTCATTCTCTCCAGCTACGAACTGTGCCATTCCCCGCAAAGTCTGCTTGTGGCACTCATATCGCGTAGAGGGTCTTGAGGGCCTGCTGGTCTTGTGGCTGCAACTGGTTGATGAACTCGCCAAAGGTTGGGATGATTTGTTTGTAGACATTGAGAACCTGCGTTATGATGATTAGGACCAAGGTACTATCGGAAAGGGGTTTGTGGAAGAGTGTAGAGGGTATTCTTACATTTCGGAACACTTCATGTAGCTCTTGCTTGATTGGGTTCCTCAAGTTCATATCTTGATAGCGAGCAATGGCGACGAAGAATTCCAACAGGACCTTCTCCAGAGCCTGCGGATTCTGGCCGACAATCAGGGTAAATCCCTTGAAGGCGGTAGCCTTTTCTTCGGTAGGGTCAACCTCCTGCATGGCAGTCAAGAATTCTTCGGCAAACTTTGGAAGGGCTGGCGCCAACTGCTCTGCATTACCAAGACCGAGACGTCCGAGCGCAATTGCGGCATTCTCAACAAGTCCCTTTGGCACGCCGGGGTTGGACATGACATCAACAAAGCGCTGAAGCAGCTCGGGCAACCAAGGCTGCATACCCTTGAGGTGTTGCATGCTAATCTCACCAGCTGACCAACAAGCGTTGTTGATGACGCCGAATCCGCTCTCGATTTCCTCATCAAGAATGCTATCCATGTCGAGCTGCTTCAACAAGATTGGCAGAACAGTTGGGATGTACGGCTGAAGTTCTGAAAAGACATACTTGGCACAGTCGCCGAGCAGTGCGTACGCAGATTGTCGCACCTCATCTGTAGGGTCCTCCATGCAGAAACCAAGGAGCTCAAAGAAGGGATGCGGAGAGCTCTTGACGAGTTCAGCGGACTTGTCGTCCTCGAGCGCTTGAATAATGGCGCTCAAAAGGTCTAGGCTTGTAATGAGGAAATCCTTGTCCGGCTGGTCAATAGCGTGGTTGGTGGTCGCGTTGATGCCCTGTTCAAGGTTTGTGTGGATAATGTTGATGCAGCGCAAGAAAATCGTGGGCGCATAAGGAGTGAAAGATTGACCAAGGGCCAGAGCAACGTAAGAGAGACACTCGAGGAGCGGGAATAGTTCGCGAGACTGGTCCGAGACAGCATTGTATCTCGCAATCAGCGCCGGCATCAACTGGTTTACCAGCTCGGGCCGGGCAATGAAGGGACCCAGACGCTCGGCCAGTGTCTGTACACAGTCGTAGAGAATGTACATGTTGCGGTCCTTGTATTTGGCGAAACACTGGACGAATTGTTGGATGATGGGTCCGCAGTATGGCTCCAATTTCTTTCCAGCCTTCTCCTCCAGATTAGCAAACGCCGAGGCACCCGCCTCCTGAACCTTCTTGTTCTTGTCCAACATCTTGCGAAGGATGCCGTCCATCATTGGAAGGAAAAACTGCTCTCGCTGAGACTGCTCAGCAAGGTTAGCCGCCCAGGAGGAATATCTGCCCAAGGCCCAACAAGTGATTTGCCTAACAACCGGCTCCTGATCCTCGAGGAGAGAGATCAAGTATGGCACCAATTCAGGGAGGTGAGGCGTGACGGTATCCATACAACCATCAGCCACCGCGCCGAGAGCTAGGACGGCCGCCTCTCGATAGGGCCACTCGTCGTGCTTGAGGTTCTGGGAGAGATACGGGAAGATGGCTTCGAAGACGGGCCCGCCAAAGTCGCGGGCGAAAACGTCGAGTGCGGCCGCTGAGCACTTCCTGACAGTCCATCTTTCATCGGGATTCGCGTCATCGCCGTCATCATCGAGATCATCTACTTCGCCTTCCTCTAGCCCTTCATCCATGCGGGCAAGCTTCTCATAGGCACCGCCGTTCTGGTTGGGATCAGCCGAAAGATTCCCTTCTCCGTTCGCAGTCCTCGTTTGGGATTTCTTGGCAAAGGCTGGTCGGATATCCTCCTCCCGGTCCTCTTCATCCTCGTCATCCGAAAGCCCACCGAGAAGGGCAATGTCCTCTCCGCTGTATACCATGCAGTGCAGCAAAACGGGAATGATTTTGTCAAGATACGGCCGCAGCCCGGCCCATAGATCGTCGTGCTCGCCAATGGCCAGCCAGAACTCGGCGGCCTCGCAGGCAAGCTCCTCGTCTTCGTCCTTCTGCTGGGTAATGAGATAGTCTACCAAGCCGCCGAGATGCGGCTGTAGCTTGTCTGGTCGTGTCTCAATCAGGTGGACAAAAGCTCTGCACACCTGCCGGCGCACATCGGTGTTCTCGTCCCCTGATAGAACAAAGAGATGCTGCAGCAGGTCATCGACGCTGTTTAACATGGCCTGTGATGCCCTTGGGGTGAAAACGTTGATGGCCGTCAGTGCTCCTACGCGTACTTTCGGGAGAGCACTCTTGGTTGCAGCAATGAGTTGTGGAAGAACATAGTTGAGTGGTCGTTGGCCATTGACCTCCTTGGTCAGCATCTTGAAGTTGTCCTCGCAGATTTTGGTCATGGCAGACATGGCGCCCTCCTGGGCCTCGTTGGAAAATTGGCCGCTCGAGTTGCTAATCATTTCGAGGAGCTGAGGGAGCAGCTCCGGCCACCCCATCAAACCACCCTTCTTAATCACTTCAGTAGCAATGTTTCCGCCGAAATTCCGAATCTGAGAGTTCTTATCTTGCAAACTCATGGGCACGGCGAGCTTGACGAGCTGCAGGCTCGATTCTGGGATTGATTTCCAGTCGGTCTTGACATTGTTCTTGAGCATAATACCGGCAGCTGATCTCACAAGATGATAGTCTTGGTCGCTGCACTGCAGGCCCTCGGGAGTCTGGGGGCTGGAGAGGATGTAAGCTAGATAATTGTTGATATCAGGCGAGCTTTTAGCTTGTTGAAGCATCTACTTGCTCAATACTTGGTCAGCATTGATAAAAAGGAATCCGTCCCTAGATTGAAACTGACCAGCTCAGCCTGTTTCTGGGCGTTCTTATCGAACCCGCTGAGGGAGTCTTTGAGACATGCTGCAAGCTGGTTCAACGACTCTGGGGCCGGTTGCCACGACATGATGGGCGGTAGTGGCAGCGGTTTGCTGCGCGCTAGAGGAACAATGCGATGCGCTTGGTTGCGGGCTTGCTGATTGGAGGTGCTCTAGGACATGAAGCGGCAGCTATAGACTCTGCAGTGGCAAGGCGAATTAGTATCATCCACGGTTTCCCGCGGCATGGCAAGAGGGCGTACAAGAGCAAAACCGACACAAAGGACCCCTGATGTCGAGGAACTCGGGAGGGCCGTTGGAGGGTTTTTGGAGGCGAGTCTAAGGACCAGGGCGTTGCCGGAGACGTCACGGGGCGTCGACTCTGGAGATCCGAGAGCAAGGCGCTCAAGTTGGTGGGCGGCGGAAGCTCGAATGTTTGCAGCAAGCAAACTGAGCAGATTCTCCTCGTGGCCGAAAGAGAGACGATGCGCCAAACCTTGTGCGCCCTCGAGCGGTTTGGTTTGATTTGGCGGGGAGCAAACCCACCTCTTTTGGCGGCCAAATTTCGTAGCGGGGTGCGATAACGATAACCCGTGAGCAAATGGGCGAGGCAAAACGGGAATAGGGAGGGACGATGGGCAAAATTTTAGGTACCTTGGCTTGGAAAAAAAAAATGATATGGAAAAATTTGTATGGAGTGCTTTGCTCTGCTGGTTAGCGCGCTGCTAAACCACTTGACAGTGCATGTGCAGAGCAAAAGTCAGGTGACTGTGACAAGAACAATGGGGGGTGGCTTTGCGGTACCTGCTTCTGTTGTAGAGGTACTGTTTTAGAAGATAATCCATGGTACTGTAGTATCGAGAATGGCGGGCAGTATTTCAGGGCTGCTATTTATCCAGTATTGCCATCGTTATCTACTAATTCTTTCTACTATCGCTACCATCTTCTAGTATCCGAAACTACACTCAGGTGCCTACATACCTAGGTAAGGTATAGATATCTTTGAGCAGGTACTTCTTTGAACCAAGCACGCAGCCAGTGTCTTTGACGTCTCAAGGGTCATCGTTCCTCTCAGCAAGTACCTGTGACATGCCACAACACAAGGTGGAAATAAGGTGGCTGGCAGGTGCTTATTGTTTATCCTCTCTGTGACATCCATGCTCAACAAAAAGATGGAAACACATCCCAGGCGATGTCGGTATTTATGGCGGCCGTACCGGCATCTCCGTGACAGAGGGGTGGCTCACATGCTAATTCGATCAATCAGACGCCAGCCTATTTATTGCAGCATTGTTGAGTTTTGTTTTACAGCGACCTGCCGCTAATGTGATAGCACCCCTCACCAAGAGGCGTGATTCCATTTAAACGGAACCAGTGAGGACTGACCTCAGCTCACGACTGGAGATTTCGCAGGCCCATTATTTTCGATCTAGGCTACCTAATCTATACGCTTCATTTTTAGAAGAGACGCCCAACGAGAACTTGCCCTGAGCAGTGACTCTTGGTTGATTGGTATTTCAGATGTCGCTTGTCCAACAGACAGATGCCCCCACGAATATGGCCTAGTCAATGTGCTGCTGCAGATCCCTTCTTTCTGGAAGCCTTCTCGAGCCAGTCAGCAAGGATGCAGCATGCTGCAAGGCAAAATTAGCACATCTTCCCTTGATAGGTAGATCATGCCTCCCATCATAGGTATCCAAGCACGTGAGGCCTTGCCCTGTCATGATCATGAATTGCTTCGTAAACTATCATCTATACGCCGGGCTGTTCGCTAGCTTGGTAGTGCTGCCTTGGGGAGGATGCTCAAGATTGCCTCGGCCACGCTCTTGAAAGCCTCCATCTCCTCCTCGACTGTGCCACCCATCCCCATACTCTCCAGACTGATAGAATTCGTCACATAAACAGGCAGCTCAGTCTTCCGGGCCACCAGCTTTGCCACTCGTGTTGTAAACTCCAGAGATGACTCTGCGGAGAAGAGAGTAGTAGCGATTGATTGCTGGTGATTAAATCTCTGGTTCTGGTGTCAGTTGACACGACTCTGAAGCTGTCATACACGAGACAGATATTCAAGACGTACATCGGGAAGCGCATAGACAAATGAGCCCATTGGCCTGGGAGCAGCAGCGTCTTCCTGAGCCACCGTCGTTAGGGATATTAGAATCGCCTTGGCCTGGGTTGTGATGCGAATGAAAATGCGGGTATCCAAAGACCGCGGCAGCGGAATGGATACCTGCACTACTCTGTTTGAATCGGTGGCCATGATGGGTATTGTGTAGATGGAGTATATCTCCGAAATTGAGGAGTGAAGCGTATCTCCAGTCAATAGCAGCGATGAGAAGACTCAAATCACATGATTCACAGCTGGTGAGAATGAACCAGAGCTCGCTGCTAGCGCTGCTAAAAAAAAAAAGATAACACCACCTAAACCGAATCCCCCACTAAGCAACTCGGTTACAAATTCAAAGGGCTCCAAAAAAACACCCGATTGCGGCGGCCCGGAAAAAAAGTAAAAGCCAAAGAGAAACTCTGTTTATAGACCTTGATACGCCCTAGCCTCTTCTTCCTTAAGAACCTCTTTCTCACCATCATGATCGCAGGATACCGTCGTTGAAGCAGGCTGAGATGGATCACGACGGCGGGGCTACCTTGGCTGTGGCCGAGGAGAGCGCATGGGCCAGTGTGGATGGCGGCATGGACGATCCTGAAGAGATTCGGGTCATCTTTTGCGCGCTGGATTCGTTTGCGTGAGTGAATTGAGCCTGTTGTCCTTGATTTTTGGATTTGGTTGCTTCTCTTGCCGGCTTCATTGCTCTTGGAATGGGCAGAGTGTCTTGGGGTCTGCTTGATAAGCCATATCTCATACTACCACTTCATTCTCATTACAATCTCATATAACATGGCATCGCTTGTCATGATCTTAAGAATTACCAACAGCTGACACCTTATTCAGACAATACGCCAAAGTCGCCCACTTCAACGTCACTCATCTTCGCCGCCGGTCCTTCTATGCCCTCCCTCAGGCTCATTGGAAGCTCCTCGCCGCGCCTCCCTTCAACTTCCTTGACACGCTAGACAAGGTCGATGAGGCGATTGACACCAACGCCGCTCTGGCTCGGGCCATTCTCAAGTCAGGATTAACGTCCTTTAATGCCCTCCCTCCTAATTCATCAGAGTCTGATCAGCCAGTCATGCCGCACGAGTGGGCTGGAATAGCCAAGCACGCGGACATTGATAAGGCGAGAAGCACTCTTCGCCAGTTCTACCGCGACTGGACTGCAGCTGGCGCCGACGAAAGGGCCGCGTCATACGGCCCCGTGATGAAGGCTCTTGAAAAAGAGACCAAGGCATCGGAGGGCAGGCGTTTGAAAGTTCTTGTCCCCGGCGCGGGTTTGGGAAGACTGGTTTTTGAACTGTGCCGGGACGGCTACGATACGGAAGGAAATGAAATATCCTATCACCAGCTGTTGGCATCTTCATACATTCTCAACGAGTGCGAAAGTGCCCAACAGCACACCATTTACCCCTGGATCCATACATTCTCCAACCACCAAACGCGAGAGAACCACCTCCGCAGCTACGCCGTGCCCGACATCCATCCCGGCACCGTCCTGCTCAACACCCCAAACATGGGCTCCATGTCCATGTGCGCCGCGGACTTTCTCTGCCTTTACGGCGATGAGGATCACAAAGCCTCCTACGATGCCGTCGCCAGCGTCTTCTTCCTCGACACGGCGCCCAATCTCATTCGATATCTCGAGGTCATCTACCACTGCCTCCGCCCCGGCGGTGTCCTCATCAACGTCGGGCCCTTATTGTGGCACTTTGAAAACAATGCGCCGGGAAATCACGGGCATGATGATGACGGCGATGGCGAGCACGACTTTAACAACTCGTCTGGCATTGCCGATCCTGGGAGCTTCGAACTGAGCAACGATGAGGTGATGGCACTGGTGGAGAAGCTGGGGTTTGTAGTAGAGTCGATGGAGATGGGAATCAGGGCGCCGTACATTCAAGATACGGATAGCATGCTGCAGACGGTGTACAATGTGACGACGTGGGTGGCTCGCAAGCCGCTGGAGAAGGAAACGAGCGATGTGAAGGCAGACACATGAGATATGACGAATAGACGAACAAATAAATGAAAAATGCCGTAAACGCCGTGGAATGTGTACCAATCAAGGTTGAAACTCTGCAGAGGAAAAATGAGAGAGATAAAAAAAAAAAAAAACAAGATGGTGAATTTGTTTAACCGATCTGATGAGGTATTCATGTGGCACTATATACAGCCATTATATCATACAATTTTCTGGATACCCCCAATGCATGCGCGCCCTTCTCTTTCTCAAGCGCCAATCCCAAGGGAAAATGAAATCACAATTTACAACTTTGCTTGTTCTTCAACCATCAGCTCTCCACGGGACCACAGCGCACCGCCGTCAATGGCAATGGCCTCGCCATTCACATGCGAGCCAGCCCGACTCGTCAAGTACACCACAATGCCCGCGATGTCCTCAGGTCGGCCCAGGCGGCGCATGGGGTTCGCCTTGGCAATCTTGTCAGCACCGCCCGACATGGCCAGCAGGCCGTTGGCCATCTTGCTGGGGAAGAAGCCCGGGCAGATGGAGTTGACGGTGATGCCGCGCGGGCCCAGCTCGAGCGCCAGGTTGCGGCCCAGATGCAGCACGGCGGCCTTGCTGGCCGAGTAGCCGTAGGTGCCCTGCTTGCCGAGCGTGCCGACGCCCAGGCCGGCGACGCTGGCCGTGATGAGCACGCGGCTGGGGTCGTCGAGCGAGGCCTGCTTCTGCAGCAGCGGCGTGAAGACGCGCACCGTGTTGAAGACGGCCTTGACGTTGAGGTCCATGACCTTGGCGAAGGCCTGGTCCGGGTGCGTGTCAAAGGCCTCGCCCCAGGTCGCGCCGGCGTTGGCGAAGAGGATGTCGACGTGCTCCGTGTGCTTGCTGACCTCGGCCAGCAGGTGGTTGACGCCGTCCATGGTGGCCGAGTCGGCGGGCACCGAGATTGCCGTGGCGCCGGGCGAGCGGCCGGGCAGCGCGTTGAGAACCTTGCAGGCCTCTTCGCAGGCGGCGGCCTTGCGGGAGGAGATGAAGACTTTGGAGCAGCCGGCCTGCATGAAGCTGTTGCGGGCGTGGGTTAGCCTTGGATTCGAGTGTCTGCTGTAGGAGACATGGCTCTTTTGATAGAGGAGGGACTCACGCTGATGCTGCGTGCAGGCCGAGACCGCGCGATCCGCCTGTCACGACGGCAACCTTGCCCTTGAGCGAGAAGAGCGAAGGGAAGTCCTCCAGACTGGCCTCGACAGCGGCAGACATTGTGGCAGATGGATGTGGGAAGACGAGGTTATGTATCTTCTTCAAGTAACGCGTATCGGAAAGGAAAGCGATGCAATTGATCAATCAAAAGCGTATATTCACACAAAAGAAGAAGAGCAAGCGAGATATACAATCCAAAACGAAGAAGAAAAGAAGGAAGCGGAGGATTTTATCTTCTCTCTACATGCTCACTGCATGACGACTCAACGTCCAAACAGTGGTCTCCCCCTTGTCCAGATCCTCGGTGTAGATAGAAGTGGACTTTTTCCCCAAACTAAAAAAGATTAGGGAAACAGGTACCTCCGCCGCCAATTTTCGCCGAAGCGGTACTTCTGACGCCAACAATTTGCGGGGGAGATGCCGAGGCACAGAACGCGGCCCGGGCTTATCAGTTTCCCCTTCTTTTCTGGGGTATTTTAGTAGGAGATCTGGCACTACCTCGACTAATCGTCGATGGCGGTATGCTTTTTTGATGAGGGTGGATAGCCGGAGATGTGCGGGGAGGCTTATGAAGATGTGAGATTTGGAGTTGTGCCGTTGGAACTTGTTGGGATGAGAGTGGTCTTGGAAACTGAGATTTGATCGAGCGCAAGGGCTCAGCCGATGAGCGAGGTGATTGATAGAACGATTAACAGGCATGGTTTAGAATACTACATCTATAAATGGCGCGATATAAGCTGTGATAGATTCAATAAAGAACTACACCCAACCCTTGGATATTGTTCCTACACAATGAGCTACCTATATGTACCTAGATCTAGTTGGATTGATCCGACGAGGACGAAAATGCAAAGGAAAAAAATTATATTCCTTGTAATCCCTGCACATCAGCCAAATCGGAGTTTTCTAGAAGGAATGTTGCTACCCTCTTTATATCGAGGGTGCCTGAGCTGACATGCCGATCCTCCTTTACTCTGGCCTAGCTCACAAGGCTGGATGGCAACCTTCAAAGGTAAATCATCTCTGGGTGTGTCACAATGTACACGTGGTTTCCTATTTTCACTCATACCAGTAAAATGGCCATGTTAGTAGCAACGATTTGGTATCTCATAATCTGACTCATGTCAAGTAGCAGCTAAATACATCATCCTCTCCAAAGCACTCGGCAGCAACATCAAGCTTTCGACAGTATGCATTGAGACTGTACATCAAAATATATGCCGTGAAAAGAAAGGACACATGAAACATGTCAGCATACCCAATGTATAGAAGATTAAAGAGAAATCATGCATCCTGATGATATCCAGCCGGCCCCGCCTAGCCGAGCAATAAATGTGTGTGTCCTGTTTCCACCACATGGGCCGAAGGAAGCGAATGCAATCTAACCCCCGTAAATGCGGCTGAAACTCTACACTTCCAGCTAAGCCTTCACGGCTTTGAACAGAAAACTGATTAAGCACTGCAAAGCAACGGGATGCCCAGAAAAAAAGAAAAGAAGATGCTTGCCGATTGTGGCCGCAATACTGTGCTCAAAGGGCATCTCGAGATGCCGGGAGGTACCCGAACTGTATTTCCAGCTCAAGATCGCCAAGCACATGTTTCGCAGGAACTTTGTGACATCGTGGGATATCTATTTCCGAGGAACGTATTTTGTGGATGGGTGCACTGCCATTGGCAAGGCGGCTCCATCGAATGCGATGCGCTCAAGGTGCGCAACCGCTTGAGATGATAAAAACGTGTCTGTGCCAGCCATCAGCTTCCCCCCGGGTCTTATCGATGCCTCTGCTTCTGATGGTTCTTTTTGTTCCAGCAGTGGTTTACAGCGTCGCTAACGAGTTCCCAGTCATTGTACACGATTGACCCGATGAAAAACACCTTGACGTTGTGTTCCACCGTGACCAGCTTGGAATAATTGACGCGGGACTCCTTGGAGAGCTTCTCGCCCTCTTCTTTCATCTCGACCCTAACCGGGGGGAACCCTAGCTTTGGCTCCTTATCAAGTAGTCGCGGCTTGGTGCCGCGCTCATGAATGATGCCATGTTTGTCAGCCTTGACACCTTTCTTTTTGCAGCCTTTGCCGCCGTACGTCAGAATCGGTCTGCTATGCGTTAGATTGACCTTTCAAGAAGGAAAGGGGGGCTTGATATGAACATACACGCAGGTGCAGTGGCCCTGATCATTTGCTATCACAATGAAGCGCCGGAAACCAACAAAGAATTTAGTTCCAAACCGGTTCTGGATTTCATGTTTGCCGGACACGCTTGGAGCGCCTTCAGAGCTGGCACCTTGCGGCTCCGACCAATGAACTTTAAATATCTTTCCAATCTTGCCGTTAGCAGGCTCGTTCTATCACCAGACAGTAGGGGCAGGGGCTTGGTTGTACACACCTCGCCTGGTTGAAACTTGCTGGACGGTTCAACTCGGTAACCTGGTTCTGAGCATCAGCTCTACTGGCGCATGCTGTGCGAGAGTGGCTTCAAGGACCTACGTGGATCTAGCTCTTCCAATGGCTCTTCAAGTGCTGTTATGTGGTAGCTGCCTGCTCCCGACTGAGCCTTTGGTGTAGGCGGGCCTTCGTCTTCGTCGTCGTCATATTGAGCTACGTATTGTGTTAGCTTTCTAGCGTGTATAAGTTTTACGGAGGTGCACCAGACCATAAGCCGATGCTGATGATTCTCCAGCATTTGCATATGCGTATGAATTGTAGTCTTGGCTCTCCGCGATAGTGTTTGCCAACTCGTCGTCTTCGTGATCTTGGTCAGGGCTGTGTTTCCGCTCGTCGTAATGATTTCGCTCGTCGTACCCATGTATTGGCCGGTCTGGCTACAAGTTTCAGCATTGAACCAAAAAAATAAGCGACGGAAAAAATTGGAATAAGGTTGAATAAAAAAAAATAAGATAAAAAAAGAAAGGGAACCAGGACGAGGGGTCAGGACTGGGCATTTGTGGGCGCACTCACCAGCTGCGTGATTCTCAGCTGATCGGCCTTCTCTTGCGCCGTACACAGGAGCCGATTGGGAGTCTACCCCGCCAACAAAATCTTGTCAGTCAATCAATCCACGACAACCGTGGGGTATTGGCCATTGGCTATATACCTGATGTCGACGGCTGGTAGTACTGCGCTTCGGATGATCCGTGGACGTCTAGTTATGGGATACGCTGTGAATGACTGAGACATTGTTTCGGTGCAGCAGAAGCAGCTTACATTGACTTGCCATGTAGTCGTACTGCCCCGCCTGGGACACATGCAAGGATTCCGCCGTCGAGGTTCTGTAGGCGCTTTGTGCCGAGTCCTCGTCGTGGGAGCCTGTCCGGTGCCTGTGCTTGCTCTTGGGCCTGCCGGATTTCGAGTTTGACAAATGATCTTCGGATACTGCAAAAGCCCTCCGGCGTCAGTCACCCAATTATCACATATAAGCACGCCAATCGTGGCCGCCAAACGAGCTCAAGAGAGCTTGTCGCGGCGCAACCGGTGCGACTTGGCAGGGTCAGCGGATAAAACGCACTTGAGCCATCGTAGTCGGTGGTGAGGCCCTTGAGGCCCTCTGTTATGTCGTTGATCGTTGTGTCTCGCGGAGTTTGCGCATGAGCGGCGGCGGCCGAGCCGTGCTGGTCCCAGTCATAGTCGTAATTCCCTAAGCAAGTATCACAGGTGTTGGCGGTGATGAAAAATGTCAAGCGCGGGGAGGGTCTTTTCACACCTTCGGAATCCTGGCGAAAGCGATAGTAGCGGTGGTGCTGCTCATCCAAAACCCAGTCGGACCAGCTGCCCCATTGATGGGATTTCGACTTGGACCCGTGGTACATTGTGGCATTTTGCGCCCAGAGCAGCGCGGGAAAGCTACAAGATCATCCGGCGCTTTGTGCTGGACGGCGCAAAGGACCGGGGGAGCCCGAAGGGTCTGAGCACAAGCGCAAAGCACCTCTTATCGAGGCAGGCCGACAGAGGGGACGGGTTGCAGGCCGGACGCAATGCGGATTCCACGGCCTTTTAAGAATGATGGCAAGAAGCAGCAGAAGCAACCAGCTCCAGCTCCAGCACAAGCACCAGCGCGAGATGATAAACAGCGACGGGCGGGAGGGGAACGTTTGGGCCTGTTCCTATGGCCCAGATTGGCGCGAGCCTCCGTGGGTCGTCCACTTGCTTCCTGGCCCGAGTGCTCCCCGGGCCTGTTGGTATGTTTGTATTGGGTGGTGCCGCAAGGTTGAGTGGATTGCTGCGAGCTGCTACTAGCAAAGCAAGCTGCGGCGCTGGCGGATAGGATTATGGAGACATCTGGCATGCATCGCTGGGCGCTTGTTTAGCTACCTCGAGCTGCCGCAGCCGCAATCAAGTCAAGTCAATGGCCATGGCGTGGCGTCTCTGTATAAGAGAGAAGGTCGACCGCGCAGGCAAGGGTCGCTCCGGCTAATGGGCTGCTTTTCTGCGCGCAAAATGCATCCTGACGTTGTCCAGCGGTCGCATTGCGCTATGGGACGATCTCTGAGGCCCGTGGAGGCGGTCCCGATTCGGAGGTGGTGTGCGGCTTTGTGCTCTTTTCGCTGATTTCCGTTGCCCTGCTTGCATTCTGTTGCATTGCCAGCTGGAGCTCTCTCTCCATGTCGCCAGCCAAGCCAAGCCAACGCCGGGTGTCAGCGAGCTGCCTTGGCCACAGTCCTTTGTCTGTACGAGTATGTACATGCTGGGACATGGCGAGCCGACAGCCACTCGGGCCAAAGCAATCAAATCCATCCATCACAAAACCAGCAGACAATGACGCCCCGTTGCCACCATCGAGCACTCCAACAGACCTAGGATCGCCCGTCTCCGCCATGCACCTTGGCCTGCAGCCCTTCGGTCCCAGGCCCTGTCAGGTGGCTCGGCCGCAGGAGCCCCAGCGCTGAGCGACGGCCAGGTGTTTTGCTCGTATCCTCGCAGATGCACGCCGTGCTTGGTGGAAAGGACTAGTCGATTTTGCCATGCGGGTCGAGGTCGATGGTGATGATGTCGAGGTAGAGTGACATGCCCAGTTGGGGCTGGTACAGACCTTTGACGCCGCTAGGGACGGAAAGCCCCGCCCTTTACCCCAGCACCCAGCTGGTGCACCCGTGCGGTGGAGCTTCAGCGCTGCTAGCACGGTTTAGTGGCTGGAAGCTGCTCGCCCTCGCTCTGTAGGGCTAGCGGGCTGGCGGGCTGGTGCTACGCTGGGGGTGACGCTGTGGGTGACGCTTGATACTATGGATGTACGCTACAGCACTGCTAGCGCGCCGGGGAGGCGTCGACGACAGTGCTAGCACCTGCTGCCACAGGGGCTTCAGCCAACCGCCGGCGCGCTGGGCCATGCTCGAGCTGGCGCTATTCGCTGCCAGTCAGATGCTGAGCCAGCTTGAGCTCTCCACGCACGCACGCAAACGGCCCACGCTGTCTCGCAGTTTCACGACAAGACACACTCGCCTGCTCACTCATATGTGGCCGCAATACCAAGGAGCTGTCTTGGTTCGTCCTGCTCGTCTCAAGCAAGCGACGTGTGTCTTGCCGCTGTAGACGCACCGTCTCCATTCGCAAGCCGATACACATTGGGTGCAGCCACATGAGCCGCGTCGGTCCCGCTGCCCATCATCTCTAGGTCCAGTCTGCAGAGCCTCGTCTGGCTTCGATCCGGCACCTCTTGCATCCTGTCACGCCCCAACGACGTTGGATGTCATCGAGACGGAAAGATGACCAGCGATGGGCAATGCTGAGCGTTGAGCCACTGCCAGCATACTCGAGCCGCCTCCATGGACGCTGCCGTACAGGGACCGGCCAGTCCAGGCATCCCATCTCTGGGCGATCCCATCAGCACCGGCAGTATGGACGGCTCTGCGGACGTGTCACTCGTCACGTTTGCTGCCGCCGCATCATCCCACGAGGACGAGGACTTTAAAGAGAGCGATCGCTGGAGACTCCATAGCGACACGTCGACGATATCAAGCAGGGTCACCACGCCAGATCCCGTCGTGTCGAGCCCGCCGCTTACCCCATTTGCCTCGGTTGGCAGTCGGACGCCTCTTCCAGGCAGGATTTCCAATGCCTTCTCTCCTCTCCCTCTTCTGCCCCCCGCAGTTCCTCCTCGGCGAGGGACGGAACGGGGTCGCGGAAGAGGGCGTGGCGGAGCAAGGGGAGCAAGTCGGCTTCTGCCGAGGAGCCCGAACGAGGCTACCCGATCCCATCAACCGAACCCGGCAGAATCATCTCGATACGGACCTGTTCGACCTCCGCTGCCTGCTAGTAGTACTGGTATGGCTCAGGCATCGTCGCCGTTCCCACTGCGTGTCGAGCAGGATAGGGGCGAGGATGGCCACAGGGCTCGACGCCATGGTGTCCCTCCTCACCCGCCGCCGCCGCCTCCACCGCCGCTCAACTCTCCTCATCTTACCTCCTCCTCTTACTTTTCTAACTTTCCGACGATAAGCAGGTCGGACCTTAGCCTGGCCGACAACAATCCCTCACCACCACCTTCTCTAGGCTCTCAGACATCAGCCAGCACGCAGCATGTGATTCAGCCTGCTCCTGGGTTTCAAATCAATAAATCCGTGCGGCCACGACCCTCCCGAGGTAGACGGAACTCGGGACGGTCCCATCGTCGGCGGAGTAATGGTCCTGAAGATGAAGCACTGACTTTCTCACTGACCAGGCCTGGAAATGACGAGACTTGGAGTTCTTCGTCTTCATCTAATGAGGATCCAATCGCCTATCGGAATGCTAGGCAGTTTCCCCCCCAGCTGCCCGCTGGGCCGTCCTATGGGCCGTCCGCCCGGCGGAGCAGATCCTCGGCAGCAAATCAAATCACAGCATGGGTATCACAATACGAAAAGTCGAGGAGCCCAACGAGATCTCGATCGAGATTGGGTGACATTTCTGCAGTTCTACAACCCACCGACACTGAGTCACACCTGGAGGGCTCTTTGCATTCCAACGATTCATCACATGGTGAAATAGAAATGTTGTGGCAGCAATTGAAAGAAAAGAGAGCTAAATTAAGTGGCACAAGGGCACAGATGCGGTCAAGGAGAAAGCAGCTGCGGGAAAAGAGGCGCGAGAAAGACGCCGCTGACAATGCATTTATGAGTGTCGTTCGGCCTGTACTGATCGGCCGAGGAGAGCTGCTTCAGACCCCATCAACCCTTTTTGAATCGCGGCTGGAGAGGATGCAGCAGTTGAGAGACGACTATCAAGTTCTGGAATCCAGCTATGAGGCGCTCGAGGCTATGTTGGACGAGGAAGAGCGTGATCTTAGCATCCTTGAAACGCGTTTCTTTAGCATCTTGGCGGCTGGTCAAACCAAAGAAGAGCGTCATCTCGACATCTCCAGCGATTCTGGTGCCGCCAACTTTAATATTGATCAGGTGGAAATACCGTATGAGCTCAGGGGCATATCTCCATTTGGCCCCGTCGAAGATCCACATCCTTTGTATGTCGATTTGACATCGACGGTGGGATATCTGGGGAATGCTCGGGACGAATACGCGGACCTCCTCTCCACTAGAGAGCAATACGAGGAAGAGCAGCTATTGAAAAAGACGACGAATCAGAAGGCCTCGGACGAGTTGGACATGAAGGAATTCTTTGACGAGTTCCCATCTGAAGAGCTGCGGATGGTTGGCGTGATAACCAACCTGGAATCCCAAGTAAGTCGCCTCAGGAAGATTTGCGAAGACAGGGGAATCATGAAAAAGCACATGTCAATCAAGATGGAGTATGCGCTGGACCCACAGATCAAGTATGAAGATCTGGATCTGGATGACGAGCAGACGATCTTGAACAGTCGCAAGACATTAGGCCATGCTGAGTTCAACGAACTGCTTTCTCAGCCGGACCATGTGCTAGCCGATGAGCCATTGACCCCACTGGGGGCTCTCAAAGCAGCCATTCGACTCCCAAATCACCATCCAGAGAAGGGTGTGAGGAAGAGACTGGCGTCCAAGGAGTACGCTATTGACAATCTCATGCGAGAATGTGATGGCGGGAAGAAGGCCGACTATGTGAATCGATGGCTGCTTCACCAGCTGCGACTGTCTCCGCTCAACGCCGTGCTGCTGCGATCCACTTTCCAAGCAAGCCGGTCTCTGAAGATTCGAGACATGTGGCGCTGGCAGTGCGATGTGATGCATTACTGGTGGCGCGATAATACCATGTCCCTAACGGATGGCTTCTTCAAACCAATAACCAGTGACAACTCGGAATATTCAACTCGCCAGGGGTCGCCGCAGCTGTCGCGGGCCGCATCTGACGGTGGTCCTAGGCATGTCTATCAGCAACATGAGCCCGTTGATAACAGCGATGCCATGACCGAATATGGCTAACGCTACCAAATGCGCTCCTTGTTATAATTTTTCTTTCGTTGTTTTCTTTTTCTTTCTATATTTCTTTAGTTCATTCTTGCGGCGGTCTTCTCCTTTCATCGGCAGCGGTTATCAAGCTGCTTTACCAGATAGGTCCAGTTTTTGTTTTTGTTTTTGCTTTATGTTTTTGGATTTTGGTGTTTAAGCATGATGTTCAAGACATGGTGAAGCAATTTTGGATTGGATAGATGGAAAACGTACCCTAGGTTGGCCCTTTGCACACTCGGGCACATTTAGCTTGAGTTCTAGACGGAGGCAGAAAAAAAGTGATACCCCTTCCCCCTTACCCTCTTTCTCTCTCTTCCAAACCTCCTCCCTACCTTTTCTCTCCGTCTTCCCCTCTGGTCTTCCGTCTATTCTGATATCTTCCGTTTTCTTTTCTATTTCTGCTTGGAACCAGCGATTTATGCGCGTATTGCATTTTTACTAGGCGGTATTTGTCGTGTTGAGCACGGAGTATCATTTTCTTTCTTTGTATGTCTGGCAAGCCAGCTGTTGAAATAAGCCCTCTGTTCCTTTCTTCATTTTCCAACATCTCAGCCTGTTGCAATTTTATCAGGTCAACTTTTTTTTCTCTCTCTACCTCTCTTTTTCTTTGGGAGGGGCTGAAATAAAACCGGATCTCCGGATGGCGATGTGCGCTTTCACTGGACGATGAACCTGATGATGTTTCTTCAATTCTCTGCCTGCCCACCTGCTCCTTATCACCACATAATCATCTTCTTCATCATCATCATCATCACCATCATCCCTGTGGCGTAACTGCTAGCTCCCGTGAAGCCAAACCGGACCGATCCTCGTGTGCTCACGAATATGGAGCCCCGTCTCCACCTCGCGAAGCCGTGGTGAGACAAGCTTCTCTTTTTGTCGGGCGGCAGTGTGGAGCAGAATCTGGCGCAAGTACCGGTACACCACGGCAAACATGGTGGTTTGACTAGTCTGAGTGGCCGCAGAAGGTCGCATCACGTTTATTCACGGGACATGCAGATGCTCGGCTTCGGGCTGTTGGTGCTAATGATGCACTCATATCCGTGAATCGCATAGTGACAATGCATGTGATGCCTCTTTGCGACCCTACGTGGTGCCATTTGAGCCATGCATGAGCGCTGCATGCGAGAGTGCAGGTGCTTTAGACGCATTGTCTTGTTTTTTTGCTACCATTGCGGTGACAGGTAATAATAATATGACAGTGTGAGAGGGGCCCGAAAAAGGCTCGGGCTTATGAATGTTTCATGCTCGTTCAAGGTTCTCAGCCGTCATGTGCCTGGTCTTGGTAAGATTTATGATGTTCAGCTCCGAATACCAAGACGCCGCCTCGATTTCTTGCATGCTCTTCCATGTCACGTTGAGACCAGCTTGTTAGAGCTCCGTCCATTTCCGCAGCTGTTGGGACAAGTGTTGCTTGATGCGGCTTATCAATACTAGCAGATGCGAGGTTTTATGGCCGAGATGCGATCTGTCACATTGATGCCATAATGGAGCCATTGCCAGTGAAACAAAGACCTGTCACAAAGCAGGTAAGCAGGCATGCACTCATCATTTTCCATTCCGCCCAAAACGAAGCCCAGCCAAATCAGCCGGAAAAAAGGACAACGGAATTATCTGCATGCTCACGGTGGTGACGGTGCCCATAGCCTCACCTTGCGCCGCAGATTGCGGACACGTATATACTTGCAGTAGACATGGTGCAGATTATTGGCTGACGTACACGGAGAGGCATATTACTTGTCTATAGCCAGCGGCTTCGAGGGTGGTCAGAATTTGGACTTGGCGTTTGCATAAGTGAATTAACACGTATGTTGACCAGATAGCCAGCGCATTGCATTTGGTCTTGCCAGCTGTCAACTTGATGGGTGAGAAATTGTAGGATCGGCGTACATTGTTGTGCTTATTTTGTGGGTGAGAAGGATTGATGATGGGTGCCCAACGAGGTGATTTAGTAGAAGATGTGATGACGGATGCATACGCTAATTGAGACTTGTAGTTTAGTGATGAGAGAGAAATAATGTCGTGGTATTTGAGTATCGGATTAGCTGAGAGCTGCATTGTTTAGCTGAGACGTTATGGAGGGAGAGATACCTGATAATGTGAAGTAAATAGCCTCATAGTTTGCGTATACCAGTCTTGATATGAAAATGGCCCATGCTAGAATGTATCCAAGAGTCGGTGCCGTCCTGATCGGTGCCGTCTTGAGATACATGTTATTGGTCTGGTTATCTAGATGGATAGAAGTCAGCCCAAACATAATATTAGACTACGTAATTATATTTACTTTGAATCACGATCCAGTTCCGAAGTTGCATGTTCTGTAAATACACATTAAGTTAAGGACTCAGAGATCTCTTCATCCGCGTACATATTATGCACAGGTATTATGAGTTGTTAAAATGATAGACATCTCTTTGTAATGGAAGAAGAATACACAACCAAATCCCACCCAGAAATCTGTTCATAAGAATTATACGCTGCCCCTCTGTCTTGGGATAAGAATATGATGATAAATCATCAATGGAACTCCAGCTGTTTCAGGCTCACGGACCATCGAAGCACGTCTCTTCAATGCCGAAAAAATAAATGCCGCGAAAAAGGAGATTAAAGCAACTCGACTGAATTTCTCACATACTGGTATTGGTATTACGCGGGATTGTCGTATTAAGCATGTCCTGGAGACGTCATTCCCCTGAATTTGTTGTTCACGAGGAGCAGGGGTTGCATGAACTGGTGGCGGTGCGAGATGGGTCCTGGGGTATGTATTGAATTGACGAGATGTCGGATATACCGTGCTGCTTTGCCTTGTAAAAATAATTAAATGTGTACCGAATATCTGCGACTGGGTTTGGTTGTAGTTTGGTTATATTCGTACGTATAAAGGCTCAAGCTCGCAGACACAGACGTCACGCGAACGCGGGCAACGTGGGATTGTATACGTGGCTTGACTGATGATCTATATAGAAACCCGTAGGTTGAGATATATCAACGTCTCTCTATCTCAAATTCTAATAACTAAATGACCACGGAGGCAGGCATGCTCACCGTCAACAGTATGTAATGGCCTGCAACTCACAACATTGAACATTTTCACAAAAGCTAAGCGAGAGGTAGGAGAGCTATGAGCCAATGTAAACGAAGCGTACGAAATGGATTTAACATGATACTATTTAGTTGGTAAATGGCGGAGAGTGAATTGCTTCTTGGTAGCCTCGCCGTTTCTGTCGGTGTGGAGGGCAGCTCTAATAGATGAGAATACACTCGAGTGAGATGGAATTGGAATTTCCTCCGATAGCTATGCCGATTACTTAGTGTAAGTAGCTCTATGAACGAATTCATTTCGAAGACTTAATGCGTGGCAAGCGCCTAGCAGTCTGTGTCGAGAAGTAATCGTAAACGTATTCACATGCAAACATTGCAAGAAATGAACCACTTGAGCCATGACCTTACCAAAGACGCACTATCTAGAGATGATGACAAAAGCCACCTAATGAGCATTTTGTTATTATTGATCAACAATAGTCAGGTCAAATATGGGCTTGGAGTATCAGCATGGTTACAATACTGAGCACCAATAGGTAGATGAAAGCCCCCAAGTATGGTTGAGTAACGAAGCAAAACAATAAATCTCAACTACTCAACGTAAGCATATCATTCACAAGCCCCTCGAAGAGCTCATGTCGCTCATCTAAACCCTCATGCATTCTTCCTGCCCATGCGAAGAGGGAAATTTCAGGAGAGCAAAGTCACATCTCTCCTTTTTGAACCCGCAAAACGTATATACAGAGCTCTATTGGACAAACACATTTTGTGGGTACAAGTCACGAAATGCGAGTAGCAGAAGTGTCTCCCGAGCGGATATCAATCCATTAGGGCTTTTCGTACGGCTCAGGTAAGAACCCGGTCCTTGGAAAGGCAAAATAATTCGCGCTCATATCCCCCTTTCCGGTACGAATGCTGGCTACGCACCTTGAACATTGTCGAAAGATACATCTCACTTTGGATCCAGGCTGTCAGTATTCTGTTTCTTCGACATTGGGTTGCCAAGTCTTCTCTCTGCCACTGGGATTCTTCATTTGTCTGCGCCGTTTAGCCGTTTTACGGTCCAAGTGCCCGTCAACTATGATGTAGCTTTGCAGGGCGACATGTCGAATTTTACCCCTGAGTCAGGGATGGAGTTGATACGAGAGCACAGACTTGTTTATTCACCTTTGTACTCGATCTCCTTCCATTACAGGCAGCCTTTTTTCCCATTCTGATACACTCAACATCATTGAAGAGAAATTTGATGGGTGGGCGAGTGGATTGGGTTTGGGGGTCAAGAATACGAGAGCTTGGTTTGACAACCAAACAATACCGGCGCCCTGTGGAGCGTGTGTCCTCACCAAAGCAAGCCGCCGGAGTTATCTGCTCGGACATATTTCATCGTGTCAGCATCTTAATGAGGCGGACGGCGGACTTGTTCACCGTTTCCAGCCACGCCAGATATTCTAGAACACGGCCGGCACTTGTAGGACTCCGTAATGTACCGGAAAGAAAAACTAGTAGATCACGACATGTTTACTAGAGCGCCAAAACATCACATTTTCGTCTCCCAAAACTGGACCTGCAACTCCAAAAGGCGTAGTACGGCCTGCGAGAGACAACGGTGTGGAAAAGAAGCTTGAGTTAGCTGCTCTGAGAAAGCACTGTTTTCTCAAAAAAGAAAAAGTATCCGTGCTTGCCGCCACTTACTCGTGCTTTTGATTTCCAATCCCGGGGTAACTTCATGCGTGCCGGTGTTGTACACCGACGATTATCGAAAAGCTTGATCTCCAGCGACGATCAGCGAGATACCAACGTGTCTTCACTTTAGCGACAATAGTCGTCGAATCAAACGTTGCTAAGTCTGAAACTTGGAGCTACTGTTATCTAACTGTGCAATAGCTCTGCGGAGGGACGTCAATGCTCGGACTGCCTAGCTAAAGAACTGT